ACTCCAACCGCTATCAAAATATCTGAAAACAAATCCTGAGTGCATCACTCTCAAGTTCAGCCCTGGCAAAAAAAAAAAAAAATTAAATAAAATTTAAAAAAAATTCTCCATTTTAAGGGCTGGAGAGATGGCTCAGGAGTTATAAGCACTGGCTGTTCTTGCAGAAGACCCAGGTTCAAATTCCAGGGCCCACATGGCAACTAACCTCTATCTGTAACTCTAGTTCCAGGGGATCCAATGCCCTCTTCCTTGGTGGGCACTGCATGATACAGGTGCACTTACATACACACAGGCATAACACTAATACATATAAAATAAAAATAAATAATTTGGGCTGGAGAAATGGGTCAGCAGCACTGGCTGCTCTTGCAAAGGATCTGAGTTCAATTCCCAGCACCCACATGGCAACTAACAACTGTCCTTAACTCCAGTTCCAGGGGATCCAGCACCCTCTTCTGACCTCCACAGGCATTGCACAACACTGGTGCACCTACCTACATCCAGGCAATACACTCATTTACATAAAATAAAAATAAAATATATCAGCTGGGCGTGGTAGTGCACACCTTTAATCCCAGCACTCGGGAGGCAGAGGCAGATTTCTGTGAGTTCAAGCCCAGCCTGGTCTACACAGCGAAGTCCCAGGACAGCTGGAGCTACAAGGAGAGCCTGTCTCAAAAAAAGACAAAAAATGAATGAATGAATGAATGAATGAATGAAATATACTAAAAACCCCTCTAACTGAATGGGAAACAGCATGAAAGTTTGAGTGGGAGAAAGAACACATCAGACCAAACAACTAGGGGTCAGTGCAGGTGACTCACATTCCTCAATTATCCATGAACTTTTAAGTTACCTTGACGAAGTTCAGAGGGGAAAGCATATCCATGAAGAAACTGCTCCATGGGTCTTCAAAAGCAGCATCAGAAAGAAGGCTTATGATTCCAGAATTCATTTCCTGCAAACTAATCATTATTCCAGGTCAGAGGCTCATCCCCTGGCCTAGAGGATATTGCTTTCTCCCACAGGCATTCAGTAATGGCCTCATCAGACTTTCAAACCTAGGTTCTGATGACCATGACTACTTCCTTTTTCTTAACTGTCTGTTGATCTCATATCCATGACTGCTGACCCAGAACAAGAGACACGAGACTGGACCCAAGGAAAATGAAAGCTCCTCACCTCCAGACTCCAAAATAAGGGAGGACAGGTTACAGCATAGAAGGGACAGAAGGATGGATGAAAGGGCCCTGAAGATACCTACCCAATGATATATATGTCCAGATTCAGGTTCTGGTTGTTCAGTTGAAGTAGGTCATTGAGGTCTACAGTTGGGGCTGCCGAAGCCACATTCCATGTCACAACTTGTACGCTGTGCGAAGGATGCAAAGGGAAGTCATAGAGAAAGAAGGCTAAGATTTGTCTGGATAATGGGCAGGGATCTAGGCCTGCTAATGGTTTTCATTGCGGTGATCATGAGAAGTATGTTTCTTCATCTGGTGGTAGGAAAAGGAGCAACTAGACTATAAACTCTTTTTTTAAAAAATATTTTATTTATTTTTATTTTATGTGTATGTGTGTATTGCCTGCATGTAGGTAAATGAACCCATGTCTTGCAATGCCCTTGAGGACAGAAGAGGCTGTCGGATCCCCTGGAACTGGAGTTACAGTTGTTGGCTGTCATGTGGGTTCTGGGATTTGAACCCAGGTCTTCTACAAGAACAGTCAGTGTTCTTAACCACTGAGCCATCTCTCCAGCCCCAAGACTACAAACTCTTTATCTTCACTTTTGTCTCATGAAGCAGGAATCTCTTACCCTGAACTGGTTCCTCCATTCAGGTTCATAGCTGCCCATACCTGGCAGCACTTGGTATCGAGCTGCCAGAGGGAATCCAAAAGCTTTTGGCCAGGAAAAGGAAGGAATAAGCTGGACAGTCAGGAATTTATTAACCCACCAGCCCTCCAGCTATCTAACCTCAGCGATCATCTATGGTTCAGTCAGCAACGTTGTGCCCTCTACTCCTTAACCTATGTGTTCCTAAGCCCACCAAGAAAGTGCCAGAGATTAATTGCACCTGATGATAGGTCTTAGAACTACAAGAACATGGACATTTTGGATAACAAAGGTTAACACCACCACATTTCCTTCCTTACTCCTACCTTGCAGATCCCTGGAGCACAGCAAATTCTGCCAAGGTCTTCAGGGAGCCTAAGTATGTGCTTCTAAGTAACAGGTTTCTCAGCATCTGGTCTCTCTGTAACTATCTCGAGAGTCTACTCTCTACTGGGAAAACCCATTAGTTGAATAATACTCCAACCTCAACTCTATACAAGTCCCAGACACTCAACAGAAATACATCAGAAGCTTTCAATAATACAATATTCCATCTAAAGTTCAGAAAAGGAAAGACTTGTAGATCCCTTAACTGCCTGATGCTACAGTAACACACCAAGGAAACCCAGACTGTGCCCAGTACAGAGTGGGCAGGAGCATCACTCTACAGGGATGAAGAGCAGCCATCAAACCTGTGAGTTCCAGGAACAGAGAGGTGCTGCAGTAGCTTCTGCAACAGACCCTGTTATTGGAGGTTCTAAAAGGCAGGACTTGTAAAGAAAAAAACAACAAAACACTCTTGGCTAGCTTAAACCAACTTCCTGTCTCTCCCTATGAACATAAGCAAAACAATACAAAAACCACCTTCTCAGGAACCCTGCTATGTATTTCATCTGTTTACGTCTCCCCCTGCTGTCCAACAGAGGATTAAGGGCAGGTGGCCCTTTTACTTTTCTTTTTTTTTCCATGTCATGCAATTCCTGTGGCGATCAGAAGAGGGTGTGAAATCCCCTGGAAATGGAGTTACAGATGGATATTAGCTGCCATGTGGGTGCTGGGACTTGAACCTGGGTCCTCTGCAAGAGCCGTCAGTGCTCTTAACCACTGAGCCATCTCTCCAGCCCCAAGCCCTTTTACTTTTCAAAGGCGCCTTGTTTTCCCAGGCACTTACTCATGTGAATGAAGAATAAATGTAGGGATTTCTTGTTTCGATAATTAGAGAAATCCATGCACGACGATTTACAAAGTTGGATGATTAGCATTGTTCCTAGTGATGAAAGGACAAACTGGAGACGAGGCTAAAGGACCTTATCTAAATCCGATTTCGGATTTCTAGAAGTCAGAAGCGGATCAAGATCCCATATGTACTGCTGATGAAAAGTAGGCAAGATTTCTACTCCATAGCTGAAGGGGCGAATGCTTTACGTCCCTAGTAGTCTAACCTATGCTTCCAGAAAACAACCGGACACCTGCTTAGGTGCGTCGGTAGGTACGATCCTCGTTCAGCATCCGAAATTTAGAGCGGGCGCCAAACTCCAGGTCTAACACAGCCTATGCCCCGCTGGCCTGGCAGAACAAGGGCAGCCTTGTTGGCTTGTCCCCTTCGCTGCTTGTGTGGTTTGGTCTGCAACTCCGCAGACTACACTCGGCTGGACAGCGATCTGCCGGGAACCGACAGGCCTCCGCGTCCTGCTCACCTGAGCACGCAGTTTTTCGGTGCGCTCGGCCTCCGCTGGCTCCCGGCCGACATCGTCACCAAGCAGCGGCCGGGTAGGGTCCAAGTCTCTGCGCCGTAGGCAGTCGCGGCCGGAGCAGCCTCTGGGACTCGGTGTCGGCCGCCCTGCTCGCTCCCGGTTGTTTTTCTTCGGGATTCTGACCGCCCGCCTCGGCTTCCGTAAGGGGCGGACCGTAGCGCAGAGGGCTCTATGTGGTGGGTTCGAAAAGAAGAGGCGGGATTCCGCCGGCGCGAACCGCCTACAGGCGGAGCGCTGAGGGACTCTGGAGGCTGGGGACTGAGAGGCGTGTCCTACGTGTACTAGGCCCTCACGTCACATGGCCCGCCTCAGTGCGTGAGTGGGTGGTGGCCGTGCCGCCCTGCCCCGTTCCCAGCCTGCCTCGCGCGAGGGCGCGGGCGCGTTGCTGGCGGAAGTGGTGGCCGCTCGCGGTCTCCGCCGCCCCTGGGTGGGTGTCGCCACGCTGACCAGTGCGGTATGGCTTCCCGCCCACCCCTGCCCGGAAACCCGAGTAGACCGAATGTGGACGCCCGTGTAGTCTGTCCTGTCACTCGGTCTCCCTCGCTACAGGTAATACCCCCAGTTTCTTGGCAGTCTCACGTGGGTTACCGAGCGCCTGTACCCTTACATGGCTTTCGCTGATCATAGGGGTTTCGTTATTTTTTATTTTTATTTTTTTTCGAGACCGTCTCGGTGTAGCCCTGGTTGGCCTGGAGCTGCCTTGTGTAGCCGAGACTGGCCTTGAACCTGGTGTTGAGGTTACAGGAGTGCGCCGCCACGCCCCCAGCTCAAACTCCATTTACTTAAAGTAGTTTTGGCGATTATAGGGCTCGGAAAATTAGCCATCGGTAAATGAAAAACAAGGTATTGCTATATGGTGTATATTCAAGACTGATCATGAAGAATATTTACTTTGCCAAAGACTCACTACGATTCATTTCCTTTGGGTTTTGTTGTTTGTTTTTGGTCTTTTGAGACAGGGTCCCTGTAGCCCCAGCTGGCCTGGAATTCGCTATGTAGCCCAGGCTGGTCTTGAACGCACAGAGATCCACCTGCCTCTGCCTGCTGGGATTAAAGGCATGTGCCACCACGCTGGACTGGTTCCTTGGTTCTTAATCTGAGGGTTGGAGGGATAGCATATTAGATTCCTTTCAGAGCTATGACTTCCCCTAGGGAAAGGCACACAAACAAGTTTTATGAAGTTCACACAATTCGGAGGCCCAGTTAAAGATTCTTATTTTAGGGGTTGGAGAGATGGGTAAGACCACTCACTGGGTGCTCTTGCAAAGGACCTGGGTTGGGTTCCCAACATCTACACAGCAGCAAACAACAGGCTGAAACTCAAGTTCCAGGGGATCCATCACCCTCTTCTGACCTCTGAGGGCATTGCATGCCACAGATGCACTTATATACATGTAGGCAATACACTCATACACATAAAATGAAAATAAAATTTTAAAGATTACTATTTTAGCACAGCATGGTGGGGTATGCTTGTAGTCCCAGCAACCGGGGAGGCTGAGGCTCTGAGGTTCCACCATAGTGGCCTACAACACAGAAATACAGTCTCACAAAACCCCAAATACCCTCCTACTTTTTATGTTTTGGCACCAGGTATAGTGGTGCATGCCTGTAATCCCTGGAGGCTTGAGGCAGGCTGATCACTGATCACTGTTTGAGACTAGCCTGGGCTATGGTGAGGTCTCATCTCGAAAAAGAATGGAGTGGCCTGTGAAATGCCTCAGCAGCTAAGGGCACCTGCCACCAAGCCTAACAATCCGAGTTTGATCCCTGGGACCCTTGTGGTATAAGTTGTCCTCAGACCTCCACACAGAGGCACACACATATATGGAATAAAATCACATAATTACTTAATAAAAGTTTGAAAAATAGCAGGCAGTTCCCTTGTTACTGCCTAGTCTGTTCCCTTTTGTAGTGTATTACAGCTAAGCCTTTCTTAAGCAGAGGCTAGAGAGATGGCTCAGTGGTTAAGAGCACTTGCTGCTCTTTTAAGAGGACACAGGTTTGGTTCCCAGCACCCACATGACAACCATTTGAAACTTCAGTTCCAGGGGATCCAATGTCTTCTTTTGGCCTCTGCAGGCATTGCATGTATATGGTACACTTACATACATGCAGGGGAAACACACAAAAATATTTCACAAAAATAGGCAGATAATTCAAGAGCTTCCATCATGTAGCACGTTTGGATACTTTCCAGATGTGTTAGGAAAGATACACTAGCAGTCGTTTGTGTCTGTGGGTGTAGGGGTTGCATTATATTTTCATGGAGAGGTCTCAGATGAATTTTTCAGGTGTCAATATTTCAAAGTTACTTAGGGGGACTGGAGAGATATGCTCAGTAGTTAAGACCACTGGGTGCTCTTACAGAGGACCTGGATTTGATTCCCAGCACCCACATGGCAGCTAACCATCTATAACTCCAGTTCCAGAGGATCAACACCCTCTTCGGACCTCCATGGGTATTGCACAACAGGGATGTCCTTACATCCTGCAGGCAATATACTCATATACATAAAAATAAACTATTTTAAAAAACAAAGTTATTGTTTGGAGCATGGTAGCACATGCCTTTAATCCCAGCACTTGGGAGGTAGAGGCAGGTGATCTTTGTGAGATCAAGGCCAGCCTGGTCTCCATTGTGAGTTCCAGGCCAGCTGGGGCTACAGGGAGACCCTGTCTCAAAAAGACTCCCCCCCCCAAAAAAAAAAGTTTAACTTTTTTTATATTTCAAGTATGTGTATGTATCTGTGTGTTCATGGGAGTGCAGCTGCCTGTGGAGGCTAGAGTCATATCCCCGTGGAGCTGGAGTTACAGAGGGTTGTGAGCTCCAGGCTCTGGGTCCTGGGATATATATTTGGGTCCTTTGCAAGAACAGTTCATGGTTTTTGCTAAGCTGTATTTCAGCCCCCCAAGTTAGACTTTTCCTTCTGTTTCTCTTTTGTTCTGTTTGTCTTTTTGAGACAGTCTCCCTGAAACCCCTGAGAACTTGCCATATAGACCAGTCTGGTCTTGATTTCAGAGATCTGACTGCATCTGCCTCCAGAGTGCTGGAATTAAAGGCCTGCACAACTGCGCCCTTTCTCTTTTCTGAAAGCTTGGGCATGCTTTCCCTGGTGCTTTGGGCTTTCTCACTCTTTCTGAAGCTACTGCTACCCCTTTACCAGATCGTTTTCTTCTTCCTCTGGGCAGTCGCACAATTTACAGTGTTTTTCTCTCAAACTCTAAAAACTGTCCCAAACTTCAGATTAAAAATAATCTTTTGCTTAGTGAAGTGAATAAAGAGGGATATGTAAAGAGGGAGACAAAAGCCCAAAAAATGGCTGAGCTATGCAGTGTTATGTAAGTAAATTGAATCTTTGGACTTTTTTTAGAGACAGGGTCTCCCTGTAGCCCCAGCTAGCCTGGAACTCGCTATGTAGACTAGCGTGGCTTTGAAATCAGAGATCCACCTGCCTCTGCCTCCCAAGTGGGGGGGGATTAAAGGCATGCACCCCCACCCCCAGCAGAAATATTTTAATGTGACTTTTTTTCATGCCTGTTAGGTAAGCACTACCACTGAGCTATACTCTTAGCCCTAAGCCATAATGTTACTTTTTTTTTAGATGAGGAATACTTTGAATATTTATACTGTTGCAGTTTTTCATAATCCTATCCTGGTAAATTGGGGGCATCAGGAGGAGGTTTAGGATATATAAATTTAAAAAATGGACATAAGAACATCACCAATAAGCTGGACTCAAGAAAACTGTCTAGGATTTTATTAGACTGCTTTTTTTTCCCAATATACCTGTATTGGAAGATTGAGACAAAAAGGCACAAACTCACATTAAATAAACAAGGTAATCTAATCAGTTCTACAAAGTGTAGTTTGTAAAAGAAGTAGCACTAAGAACCAACTGAAATAAGTCAGAGAGTCCCAGGAGGGACTGTAGAAGGAGAATTTGAGAAGATATACACATGCCCACAATACTGACCCTGTCCCTTCCAACCTCTCTCCACAAGAAGGCCAGAGCCCAGGAGGCCTCATGCAGAGGCACTGCTGCTTCCAGTTGGGACTAAGACCCTGGAAATCTAATGGAAGCAGCTGGTCTGAAGGGTTATGACACCCTCAGGTATTATCATCAGAGCTGAGTCTTTGATCATAAGCCCTCTGAGTGCTAGTCAGTTTGGGGGTGAGTGACGAGGAAAAGGGGTATTTAAAAGAAGCCAACACTTGCCCAGCAGCAACACCACTCATGGGGATGGGACTGACCAGGGACACCTCTCCTTATTTGTTGATATGGTCAGGAACCCTAGATCCAGGCTGATCTCAGGAAATTCTAGTTCATATCATTTGGATACTTTCAAATGTGGGCAGTAGACCGAGGCAGAAGAAGCTAGAGCAAAGGCAGATAAAGAGTGAGCCCCAACTGCAGCTAAGGTGATTGATATGTGTGGAGCTCAAAGTGGTGGCAAAGGAAGACAAACATCTGATCCTCAAGCCACATAAAACTGTCTGCTTAGGGTATCAGTTTGTCCCATGATAGATCACACCTGGACTTCGCCTAGTTGATGAATGATTAGAAGGAAAATCTTTAAGCACAAATATAATTGATAGGTAATACAGAACTTGTAGGAGAACATTTACATTTTTCTCCAGTAGGAATGCCTCTTCTCCACCTTTCCCAGTCCAGTACATGCTGCTGGAAGTTGAGATGCCAATCACCAGCCAAAATGCCCGAGTACATTACAAAAGACTCCATGGTGAGGAGACTTATACAGGGAAGGTTTCTCTAACAGGACATCATCTCCTGGTCTCAAAGGGATTGCAATTGAAAGTCAGCGATAACCATGCTGAGGGGCCCAAATCTGTCCACCCATGCTCCAGGAGGACCATAGGGAAGCATCCAATCAGGGTGTCACAGGTATAGTCCTGTGAGACACTCCCTTATTGCACTTAGAAATGAGTAAGGCAAACAAACTGACAAAAACATAGGATAAACTGTCCCATCCCACTTCTCGTTCCCATGCTTCCCTAACAGAGATCTTGTCTCTATCTGGGATACCCAGGCTAGCAGGGCTTGGTTCACAGAACACTTGGCTGACTGACTTCACAAGGCTTGGGAAATGTGAGGTGACACCACAGCTCTATAGCATTCTCCCACCAGGAAGGCATAGTGTTTCTGCCAAGCTGGAGAAACTAGGAAGCACTCAGCAGCTTCTCTTTTGGAGCCTGGGCTTCTTCACCAGCCTACTATGGTAGAGTTCTAGGCTACAGTCACTGCTTGCTTTTGATTGTCCAGGACAGAACTCAGCATGGGGGCAGGATGAGCTGCGTTCTTGATCCACAAACTCCAGTGATTAGAGACAGGAGAATACATGTTCTGCTAGGGGGAAAAAAAAGCTTTTTGCATGCTCATTTTGTGCAGCATGAAAAGATCAGGACTCTTGCATCCTAACTAGCCTCAAAGAGGACAGTGATCTAAGAAAGCAAGGAGAACAGAGGATTATTGCTGAGTGGCAGCACCAGCCCAAAAGGGAAGAGGAGCATGGACATACAGAGCTCCTCAGGGGTCAGACAGAGTGGTGTCTATGGGCAGATTCAATTCTAGGGGCTATACCGGACAATTCCTGCAGGTTCTGCAGATTTGGACAGAGTGAGCAACAGAAGGGCTGAGAAGCCAGGGTTGTTTCTGAGAATATTACCCAGAGATGCAATGACTGGAGTAGGAGTTATTTATTATTTGCTAAATTTCCTTAGATTAGCTGGGCCTTGGGTACCTCCTTGGTGCTTAGAGCACTCTAACAACAGCTTACTAGGTACAGAGGTCAAGGTTATGAAGCCACATTCTTAGTGTACAGAACTTTGAGGAGAGGGGTGGGTGTAACATCTCTGTATTTCTAACTCACCCTCTCTCCCCAAGTGAATACTCAGAATTGCCAAAGATCTGCCCAGGAAGTAAAATACCTCAGTTTACCCCAAGGTTGAAAACAAATGAACTTAAGTCACTGCATCACAGAAGGCAGCTAAGTTGAAAGACTAAAAATGTCACTTGGAAATAAAGGTATTGGAGGGAGGCGCACACATAGAAATGGGTCAGAATACAATGGAGAGAGAGGGAGGAGCTGTAAATACAGCAACCTATACCATGTATCTTAGAGGAGCAGGCTCCTGCGCACACAGGCTTTGTAATACCAGACGGTCTATTTGTTCACAATGTTAAAGGGCATCTAGAATTAGCTACAGTATGGGATTGAAAGTTGCCTGAAGAACGGGCACAGAAAGGCTGCGTCCAAAGATGGCCTGCCACTCAGGAGGGTGGAGCTGCTGGGCCTTCCTGTTGACCACTGTCTTGCAAAACTAGAAGAGAAACACAATTATTAAGGAAGCAACAAGGGAAAACAGAAGTATACTGTAAATCATCTTGAGTGGAGGAGTTTCAAAGCTGGGAGGAATGATCCCAGTTGGTAGAAGAGAGTAGTAAGGCCCCTGGCAGTGACTGTGAGACGTTGTTTCCATCTTCCAGAAGCTGCTTGAGAACATGGGTCAGGATGGGGATGGAATGCTTGCCCAGCATGCCTAAGGCCCCAGGTTTGACTCCCACTTAAAAAATAAAAAAGGCTGGGTGTGGTGGCACACACCTTTAATATCAGTATCCAGGAGGCAGAGGCAGGCGGATCTCAGGCCAGCATGGTCTACATAGCAAGTTCCAGGACAGCTGGAGCTATAGGGAGCCCCTGTCTCAAAAAGACCAATAATAATAATAAATGATAGTAAATTAATAAATTTTTTAAAAACCCACACAAAAAAAGAACTTGGAGCAGCCAGAGAGCACAGAGGTGTTATGTCACTGCTGGTTTAAGACCTAAGTTTCTTTATCCTCTTGGTGCTAAAGGACACTCAGTTTTTTTCTTTGATCAAGTGCCTCAAGAGCTGGTGTTTCACTGTGTGGCCAGGCCTGCTCTTGAGGTGCTGGCAAAACATGAGTCACAGTGTGCAGGCACACTGGAGAAAAACCAGTATTATGAGCTAATGGAAGGGCCTTGAAGAAGCATGACAGTACAAAACAAGGGCATCCCATCCTAGCCCTATGACCTGGTAGAAACTTTGAGAATCCAAAAGATACTGCCTATGTTAAAGACAGTTACCTAATAAGAGCATCAGGAAGGCCTCAAATGCAGGGTGAGACCCAGAAATGAATGCTAAGAAAAGCTGGCTAGTGCATTTTCTAAGGGAAGGGCAGGAATGGCCTGCATTAGGGAGCTAGAGCTGATAGTGGTGTGAGTGTAGGAAGTGCCCCAGCATGCTGGCATGAACTTGAGACAGCTCAAGTTGCAAGAATGGAAAAGTGATTAGTGGTAATGAATGAATAAACTGTGCTTTCACTGTATTCTCCTCCTTCTTACCACCCTGCCCATTTCAACTTTGTTCTTTATAAAGCATGCCCCTGAACTCTAATAACCATAATCTCTTTTAATAGAAACCCAAGAGCTCATTGTTTAGCATGGTAACCACCATGTAATTAGAGTGAAGGATGAGGAATGAAGTAGGTTTTCTGATTCCATACTGAGCTGCTGAGCACTGGAAAACCCTGTATCTTAGCTTCTATGACATGCACATTGAGAGTGAAATTCAGTACATACAGTGCAGAAAGGGGAGAGGTGGCTTTAGTCATCTGCTGTCATTCCTTTCACTGGGTCCTTTTGTCTCATCTGGAACAAAAAAGCAGAAATTGAAAGCTCTTACTTCTGATAGAACTCCACCATAAACACATCCCTTCCCAATCCTGCCAATAGAGGGTAGAACTCTGTGTGTGTGTGTGTGTGTGTGTGTGTGTACATGCACAAAGCAAAAATACAAAAGTCTGCATATGTATATAGCCCAAGCCATACCATTTGTAGTTACTTTGAAACAGGATTTCATGTAGCCCAGACTAACCTCAAATTTACCATGTAGCTCAGGATGACCTTTAACTTCTGATGCTAGAGCCTTGCTTTCCAAGAGCTGGGATTACAGCCCTGCAGAGCTTTGGTGTCATTTTGTTTTGTTTTAATGTTTGTCACTTAAATATAATACTGAAAAACTGTATTTAAAAATAAAGTAACTGCTGTATTTCAAAACATTGTCCAGTGTTCCAGATGGCCTATTCTGGGGTCAGTCACTGCCAGCACATCAGAGGAAATGAAGATGTGAGCCTGCCTTTGCAGATGCTGTGGGAATCTTAGGTGTTCCTCTCTCCAGCCCAGCAGCTGAGCTAGGTACTGAGTGGTTTCTCCTTATCAGCCTAACCCTTAGAACTTATATCCACCATGATCCAAAACTGGGGTCTCTAGGCACAATGTCTTGCTAAATACTTCATTACAGATTTGTATAGTCTCTAGGTAGCCTGCCCAGAGTTCAAAACTTAAACTAAAACTGATGGCAAGCTACAAGTCCAGCCAGAAGCCACAGTTGTCTACATTTAGAGGCAAGCAATAAGGATGGGTGAGGCATGCCCTCATCCAAGCCTATGCACAGGAAGACAAGCTACAGGCCAGCTGCCCCCCCCACCTCCCCCAGGTAGGCCACATGAGCAAGGATGTCACATAGCCTTTTAGCTCCACTACAGAGGGCCAGCTCCAGAAGGGATGGATTATAGAGGGACAGAAAAATAGAAAAAAAATGGAGAAAACCCATAGAAAGTCCCAGGGCTGGGTGTCATGGCACATGCCTTTAATCCCAGCACTTGGGAGACAGAGGCAGATGAATCTCTGTGAGTTAGAGGCCAGCCTGGTCTCCATAGTGAGTTCCAGGACAGCTGTGGCTACAGGAAGACCCTGTCTCAAAAAAGAAAAAGTCCTACAGAATCTTAATCATGTACTGTATCACACAATATATGCTGTTTTTCAGGAAATGTTTTAGAGAGTTCAATAAATAAAAACAAATTTCTTAAAATTTAAGTGAGTTACCTTTTCCAGTCTCACTGCCTACAGAGTTAATGGCTAAAAGCCCAAGAGGGCTGGTCATGGTGGCTCATGCCTTTAATCCCAGCACTTGGGAGACAGAGTTCAAGGCCAGCCTGGTCTACATAGAGAGTTCCAGGCCAGCTGGGGCTACAGAGAGACAGACCCTCTCTCAAAAAGACCAAACAACAACAAAACCCCCATAATTATAACTATAGGTCCTATAACATAGGACCTATGTTATCATGGGGATTTGGGGACATAATGTATGTAAGGTTCTTAAAATACATCAGGTATATGGTAAGCTCTCATTAAGTGTTAGCTTCTATTAATAAAAAAAGGTATTTTTATTAGGGCTATGCTCAGGACATAGTGAATTCCCCATTATAGAAGGTAATCAAGCATAGGCTGATGGGGAAGCTACAGAGATGACTCAAGTACTGGATATATAACAGGACCAAACCACTTTATTGTCTTTTTAAGACAGGGTCTCCTTGTAGCCCCAACTGGCCTGGAACTCACTATGTAGATCAGGCTACCCTTGAACTCAACAAAGATCCACTTGCCTCTGTCTCCTACGTGCTGGGATTAAAGGTGTGCATCACCATGCCTGGCCCAAATCACCTTTTTAAAAAAAGTATTTTATGTGCATGAATGTTATGCCTGCATGTATGTAAGTGCACCCATGTTGTGTAGTGCCCTCCAAGGATGGAAGAGGGTGTCAGATCCCCTAGAACTAGAGTTATGGACAGTTGTTAGCCACTGTATGCATGCTGGGATTCGAACCAGGGTCCTCTGCAAGAGCAGCCAGTGGTCTTAACTGCTGATCCATCTCTCCAGCCCCCCAAATCACTTTTTAAAATGGAATGTGTAGGAGTGTTTTGCCTGTATGTAAGTATACCCATGCATGCAATGCTCAAATAGACCAGAAGAGGGCATCAGATTCCCCTGGAACCAGAGTTACCAAAAAGTTACTAGCCCTGGTGTGGGTTCCTGAGAACTGAACATGTTTCTTCTACGAGAACAGCTAGTGCTCTTTACTGCAGAACCATCTCTCTAGCCCCAGACCAAATGACTTTTAACCTGTTTCTACCTTTGAGATTATGAGCCTCTGAAAAGAGGACAAGAGCATGGAAGATGTAGAAGGAAGAAAGGCAGAGAGGGAAAAAGAGGGAGCATTTTTCTTTCTAGAGCAAAGAACTAATCTCTTAGGGCTGGAGAGATGGCTTAATGGTTAAGAACACTGGTTGTTCTTGCAGAAGACCCAGGTTTGAATCCCAGCACCCACATGGCAGCTAACAACTGTCCATAACTCCAGCCAGTTCCAGGGAATCCAATGGCCTCTTCTGTCCTCCGTGGGCATTGCACGACACAGGTACACTTACATACATGCAGGCAATACACTCATACACATAAAATAATAAGACCTAATCTCTTGATCCCTTGTTTCTCAAATTTTTGAGCCTCACCCAAGAACAATGGATCCACCCCCCCACCCCATAAGGACTTAAAGTAATGGTGACTGTAGCCTTAAAGTGACCCCTAAAACCTCCTAAGAAATCCGGGCTAGCAAGATGGCTCAGCAGGTTATGGCATTTGTCCCCAAGTCTGACACCAGAGTCTGATCCCTGGAATCCACGTGCTGGAAGGAGAGAACCAACTTGTAAAAGTTGTCCTCTGACTTCTACATGTGGGCTGTGGCACATGCACCCAACACATGTATATGCATATAGACACATACAGTGAATAAATACATGTAATTTAAGTGTGCGTGTGCATGGGTGTGTGTGGAGGGGGGGGACAGCTACAACAAAATCTCCTCTGTAATTAGGACCTATAGTTATAGGATCTATTAACTATAGGTCCCATGTTAACATGGGGATTTGGGGACATAATAAATGTAAAATTCTTACATCAGGTATACAGTACAATCTCATTAAGGGTCACTCCAAAAGGTAAAAACAGTTCCCTGGAGGATCTAGAGGAAAGAAGGGCTTCTGGGCCCAGGTTCTACCCTAGACCAACAATGTGGGGTACTGAGCATTATGATGTGCACCAGGGGTACCCAAGCCAAGCCTTCACTTGAGGGCCTGAAGGAGAGCCAGTCGAGGCTGCTAGAAAGCAGGTCTTCTACTGTACATTCAGGATCTACACCAGCTCCTACCTAGGAAGGAATAGATGGCAGCTCTCAGAAACAGAGATTCCTGCCTTAGTTATGGCCCTAAGAGGACAGAAGGGCCCCAAATGGCATGTAGAAAGCAAGATGAGTGGCTAAGAGCTATAGACTTGGACAGGCCAGCACTGGGCTCTTGCACTGACTCTGTCACCTACAGGCCATGGCACAATAGTGCTGAGCTCTCAGTGTTTCCCCTTCCTCAGCTGAGGGTGCCTTCTCACAGGTGAGATGACAACTGTGCAATATGGTATATGTAAAAGCTAGAACAGTGCCAAGCACACAGGCAGTGCCCAGCAGTTTCCACTGAGCATCTCTGAGTGGGTCTCTTGGGGAAGCTTCCTTAGATGAGGCGGAAGTGCTGGGTCTTCAGGCTCCCAGAGAGCAAATAACCTTCCTCCTGGGATCCATGCCAAGGTCAAAAAAAAGAAAACTAAACAAAAAAAAAATCCCACATCTAAAAATAGCTCAAAATAACGACACAGAGCAGTCAGTTTCTGTGTGTGCTGTGGCTGTCCTCTTTAGGTAATGTGTGTGGCACTGGCAGATCAGCCCTGCCTGCCTTCCTCCAGAGTCACCTCAAATTCCACAGCCCAGCAGGATCCCCCCACCTCTGAAGAATCCCTACAGCGGCGGGATTACACACTTGGCAGCAGGCATGGACTACGATATTTGTCTCTGTAGCTGTGCCAAGACCTCAGGTACACTGCATTCAAGGGCACACAGGCTGTTCTCTTCCTTCCAGTTCCCATACTACCTGGCAGTATACTTTACCCACAACAGAGCCTGATTTGTTCTTAGAATAAGACAGTGGTGCCCTCACCAATCTCCTTAATAGCCACACATTTATCTGAGTTCCCTGGCGCCCCATTCACCTCATCCAGCTGTCTCTTTGTCTCTTCTTCCATCCTCCGAATGTCATCCATAGTCAGGTCAACCCATTTATCGAGCCAACAGAATAGCTGCCTGTGAAAGTTTGTAAACAGACGCTTCTCTTGCTATAAAAAGGAGGGAACCAAGTCAGAACCCAGAAGGTAAAAGCTACTGCTATAGTCTTCCCCATGATCTCTACTAACTCCCACAGTTTACTGGGACAGAGGGAAGGAGTGATGCCTGGCTGGCCTATATGAATCAGCCACAGGTTGTAACTTTTGCTTTCCTGTGTCTGGCAGGTGAGCGTTCTGCTAAGCATGGGTATCTACCTCACAGCTAGGCCCCTTGCTCCAAATACTACCAAGACAGGTAGCCCACAGGATCCCAGCCAAGCCAAGCCCCCTTGTGCCGTATTTCCTCCTATCTCTGGTACCTAATGCCAAGTTATAACTAGCCAGTAGCTATGAAGTGTGACCCAAGAGTGTGACTCTAATACATCAGAGAATTAAAAGGCAATAAAACTCCTTAGGTCTGCCCAGTTCCATAATTCAGGGCACTGGAGATTTGGCTCATAGTGCCTCTTGCCTTTTGGTTTCAAGAAAAAGGAGATGAGTTTTATTTGTAGTTCAATCACAGCAAATCCCTTCCTGTTTTGTCCTTTCACTTCAGTATCTTTCCCTGTCACACATGGTTCCCAGGAAAGTATTAAACTGTAAGATAGCTATGGCAAAGGAAGTGGGGGTCTGGCAAAGCAAACCAAAGTATTTCAATGTTGGTAACTCTAGGAAACCGGTCACATGGTTGAATGACTTCTTATTGAGAGAAACCCCTTTCCCCCCAACAAAGAGACAGATACACAGACACACAGGGAAAGGCCACACCCTGCTCACTTACCTTATGGATAAAATTTTCCACTTTGTTCTGCAAGCCCCACCACTTGAACTTGACAGTAACCAGTTTGTATGCACACATATATGGGCAGTCCTTCTGATTTGCCAGTTCTTGCTGCATTAGAAAAATACCCAGTGGCAGCTGATAAAACTTAGAGGAAAGACCTCAGGCTGTCCCTTATCCTAGCCCCAACCATTTCCTCCTCCATGGGGAGAGGCCAACCCACACCATGCCTCAGCCCCCTGGTGGTAAGGATGTGAACTGTACCTTCCAGTTTGGGCCCAGAGGTCCTCGTCCTGTTTTGATAGATTTAAATTTTGCTGGGTCTTCCTCTGCCTTGTAGTCCTGAGAATAGTGGAATTGGGGTTCAAAGAGACAGAGAAAAAGAGGGTAGAGGGAGACAGGGAGAAAGAAAGAGACTGTTTTTAATTGAAGAACACTTGATACCAGTTTTTTTGTTTGTGTTTGAGACAAGTTATCTTTATGTAACCCTGGCTGGTCTACCTGCCTCTGCTTTGAGAGCACCACCATGCCCAGCTCACTCTAGTTCTTGATGCTGCTGATGCACTACAAATATGGGCGAGTGTTATAAACAAGATGTAGAACTGTTTACACCTGACTCAGAACAGAGTTCTGTATCCTTTTCTCTGTTGAGTTTGTTTTCAGTTTTACCAGTATGAAAGTGTCACCAGACTGTCTGAGCAAGCACATCATTTCCAGTGTTTAAGATAGATATTCCCCTGAGACCCTGTCTTAAAAAGACCAAAAAAAAAAAAGATATTCAACATTGGTGAGCATCCAAATTACTGAGGAAGACTTTCAAAATGCAGATTTCTAGGCCATAATAGTCCAAAACCAATGACTAAGAATATCTTCAACTGAAAACAGCATGGCTTTTTCTTTTCCTTGAATTCTTCTTAAATTTTTATGTATTTTGGCGGTTTATTTTTGAGACGGTGTCTCCCTGTAGCCCCAGCTGGCCTGGAACTTGCTATATAGACCAGGCTGGTCTTGATCTCACAGATCTGCCTGCCTCTGCCTCACTTTAATCTGCTGGGATTAAAGGCGTGTGCCACCATGCCCAGTTTAAACTTTCTAAAAATTGGTATGTATATGTGTGTATTGCACAGGTATGCAGGTATTCATAGAGGCCAGAAGGTATTAGATCCCCTGGGGGTGGAATTACAGGCAGTTGTGAGCCATCCTACCTGGATGCAGAACTAAACTCAAAGTTTTTTTCAAGAGGAACAAGCGATTTAACCACTGAGCCATTTTTTTTTTTTTTTCTGTCTTTTTGAGACAGGGTCTCCTTGTAGCCCCAGCTGTCCTGGAACTCACTATGTAGACCAGGCCTGCCTCTGCCTCCCAAGTGCTGGGATTAAAGGCGTGCGCAGCCACACCCAGCTCTTTTTCTTTTTACAAGTTTTATTTTAAAATATATTTTTTAATTAATTAAACTTTTTTTTTTTTTTTTTTTTGTCTTTTTGAGACAGGGTTCCCTTGCAGCCCCAGCTGGCCTGGAACTCACTATGTAGACCAGGCAGGCCTTGAACTCACAGAGATCCGCCTGCCTCTGCCTCCCAAGTGCTGGGACTACAGGCGAGTGCCACCACACCTGACTATTTTTATTATTTTTATGTATATGCATATATTGCCTGCATGTAGGTAAGTGCACCCGTGTCATGCAGTGCCCATGGAGGACAGAAGAGGCTGTTGGATCCTCTGGAACTGGAGTTACAGACAGTTGTTAGCTGCCATATGGGTACTGGGATTCAAACCTGGGTCTTCTGCAAGAACAGTCAGTGTTCTTAACTGCTGAGCCATCTCTCCAGCCCCATAAGTTTGTTTTTTACATTTACTACTTATTTATTTATATGTGTATGTGTGTACACACATGTAAAGATCAGAGGACAACTTAAAGGACATGGCTCTTTCCTTCCACTATGTTCTTCCTAGAGATCAAAGTCAGGCCATCAGTCTCAGGAACAAATGCCTTTACTTGCTGGGCCTGGATTTTTCATTTTTATTATTTTGTTTCATTATAGCCCAAGCTGGTCTTGAACTTGTGGCAATTCTCCTGTCCTGGCCTTCTGAGAGAACTGGGATCACCAGCATGGGCCACCAAATCTGGTGATTTTTCTTTTTTTACATTTCAAGTAGCTGGGCACAGTAGCAAATACTTGTAATCACAGCACTTGGGAGGTGGAGGCAAGAGGATCAGGAGTTCAAGGTCATCCTTGGCTACATACAGAGTTCAGGGCCAGCCTAGACTACATGAGACCATATTTCAAATAAATAAATAAATAATAAATCTCTACAGATGATCCTAAAACACAACCAGAGCTGAGAACAATTGGTCATCATTTTTGAAATTTCCTAGTTCAGGGGACTGGAGAGATGGCTCAGCAGTTAAGCGCACTTCCTGCTCTTGCAGAGGACCCGGGTTCAATTCCCAGCACCAACATGACAGCTAACAACTGTAACTCCAATTCCAGGGGACTCTAAGGGCAGTGCATGACGCAGGTGCACACACATGCAGGCAATACATCCATACACATAAAAATATTTTAGAAATTTCTGGAGCTGGAGAGATGGCTCAGCAGTTAAGAACACTGACTGTTCTTGCAGAAGACCCAGGTTCAATTCCCAGCATCCACATGGCAGCTAAGAACTGTCCATAACTCCAGTTCCAGAGGATCCGAAAGCCACTTCTGTCCTTCAAAGGCATTGCACAACATGGGTGCACTTACTTACATGCAGGCATAACACTCATACACATAAAATAAAAATAATAAAATACTAAAAAAAAAAAACCAGTCTCACATTTTAGCTCTAACTGGCGTCAATTCACTATGTAGATCAGGCCGGCCTTGAACTCAGCTCCCCCTGAGCAACTAGGATTAAAGGTGTGTGCCATCACACCTGGCTGAAATTTTTTTAATTAAAAAAAAAAAAAGTGTATCTGGGGCTGGAGAGATGGCTCAGTGGTTAAGAGCACTGATTGCTCTTGCAGAGGGCCTGGGTTTGGTTACCAGCACCCACATAGTGGCTAACAACCATCTGTAACTCCAGTTCCAGGGGATCCGCTGCCCTCTTCTGACCTCCAAGGGCACTACATGACACAGGAGCACTTACATACATGGCAGGCAATACACATATAATAAAAAATATATATATAAAAAATTATGTGTATCTGTGTGTTGGTATGTGCACATGTGAGTATAAGTGCCCACACTGTTCAGAAGAGGGTGCTGTAGCCCCTGGAACTGGACTTACAGTTTTTGCGAGCCACCCAGTGGGGGTACTTTGGAACCAAATTTGGGTCCTCTCTAAGAGCAGCAAGCCCTCTGAACTGCTAAGCCAGCTCTCTGGCCCCCAAGTTTTGATAGATGCATAAAAACATATAAAACTTACCCATACTGTGATACTTGATACATGTATACGCTGTTTGATGTCTTAATCAGATTAAATGTATCCAGACAAACACGTTATCATCTCTTTATCAAACTCAAAACATTCAAACTCTCTTTAGTTTTATGAACTATTGTCCTAGTTTGTCATTGTTGTGACAAAACACTCTGACTAATACCAACTTGGGGAGGAAAGGGTTTATTCAGCTTACATCTCCCAAGTCACAGTTCATCAGGAAGCCCAAGGTAGGAACTCAGGACAGGAACCTGGAGGCAGGAACTGGAGCACAGGCCATGGAGGAACACTGCTTATTGGTGTGCTCAACCTGCTTTCTCTTTTTTTTTTTGTCTTTTTTGAGACAGGGTCTCCTTGTAGCCCCAGCTGTCCTGGAACTCACTATGTAGAACAGGCTGGCCTTGAACTCACAAAGATCTGCCTGCCTCTGGCTCCCAAGTGCTGGGATTAAAGGCGTGCACCACCACGCCTAGCCAACCTGCTTTCTTACACAACATAGGCCCACCTGCCCAGGGTTGGCACCACACACAGTGGACTGGACCCTCCCATACCACTCACTAATCAAGAAGATGCCCCACAGACAGGGCCACAGGCCAGTCCAATGGAGGAAATTCCCCAGTTGAGGCTCCCTCAACCCAGGTGTGTCAAGTTGACACTAAAGCTATCTAGCACAACTATATAGTACATTTTCATTCCCTGTGGTCATCCTACTGTGCAGCAGCAAAGCAGAGCTTATCAGTCCTAGATACAACTTGGTACCACTGATCAGCACCATCTACTTACCAAAATAAAGAATAAATCACACATAATATGTTTTCTAAAACTATGATTATTGTTATTTAGGGTGAGGGGAGGCTGAGACAAGATCTCATATAACCCAGAATGGCCTCAAACTTGGATATATAATCAAGACTGGCCTCCTGATCTTCCCCATACCTCTAACCTGTCAAGTGCTAGGATTGTGTGTGCCACCGAATCTAGCTGTATTATTATTATCAAATTTTTCCTCTACTAATACAACCAAAAATGACAAACTACTCAACCATACTTTTTGCTACTTTTCTGTTTGTGAACTACAAGGATATATATTTAGTTTGAGAAAATTCATCAGGCTGTATGTTTATGATATATTCACTTTATTGTGCAGATAGATTATAGCTCAGAAAAAAGGGTTTTTGTTTTGTTTTTTTGAGATAGGGTCTCACTATAAAGCCCAAACTGGTCTTGAACTTTTAATCATCTTGCCCCAGCTTCCTGAATAATGGGATTATTATAGGCAATGCCACACTGGGTTTGTATCCTTTTGAAATATCTTAGGCAAAGACTGATGAGATGGGTCATCAGGAAAAGTGTTTGCTGACAATTTGAGTTCAATCTCTGGAACCCACATAAAGGTACAAGGAGATAACTGACTTTAAAAGTTGTCCTCTGACCTCCACACTACCATGTATCTTCCCTCTCACATCAAGGTGAGCAGCTTGTATGCAAATGAATGCTAGGTAAGTAAGTAGTCTACAATACAGCTATATCCCCAGCCCCTAAGGGAAGTTTGTTTGCTGTTGTTTTTGTTTTTTGAGACAGGGTCTCACTGTAGCTCTGGCTGGCCTGGAACTTGCTACACCAAGCTGCCTGCCTCTGTCTGCTGGGATTAAAGGCTTGTATCACCACACCCAGCCCCTTAAGGGAACTCTTCTATGTAGCCCAGGCTGGCTTTAAACAAAATCCTCCTACCTCAGTCTCCCTAGTACTGGGATTACAGGCATGTACCACCATACCTGGCCCTTAAGGGAACCTTTTTTTTTTTTGTCTTTTTTGAGACAGGGTCTCTTTGTAGCCCCAGGTGGCCTGGAACTCACAGAGATCCACCTGCCTCTGTCTCTGGATTGCTGGAATTAAAGGTGTGTGCCACCATGCCCAGCATTTAAAAAAAAAACAAACATTTATTTGGTGGCATGCCTGTGCTATAGCATACATGTAGAGGTTCAGGAGTCAGTTCTCTTCTTTTACCAGATGGGTCCAGGGGAATCAAACACAGGTTGTTAGGCTTGGCAGCAAGCACCTTTACCTACTGAGTCATCTTGCTGGTCCAGGGAACTTTTGACATTGACCTTAGAAACAGCCATGTCAGGAAACTTAAATGAGACCCTGTCCTAAAATAAAAAAATTAAAAACGTGTTGCAAATATAGTTCAGTGGCAGGGTGCTTGCCTAATGTGTAAGGCCCTGAGTTTAAGCTCTAACACTGTAAAAATAAAAATCAACAATAGAAGAAATAATGCACACCAGAGAGAACTGTCATGCTGGGTAAGGTTCCCTGGTTTCTCTAACATTTATAAGTCATTTCTGCACCCCAAATCTTTTACATAGTTCCTACCTTGCTAAGCACTTGGCTTCGATCTGCAATGTCTATATATACAGCTTCCACATGCTTCCATGTCTCAGGCTCCAGTTTGTGCACCTACGGGAAAGGGGCCACTTGTTATTACATGTGTAGTTTGGTAGCTGTACAGCATCCTTCACCTCAAGGAATAAGAGCTCTTTCCATAGCCATGGTTGGGATATTCCTGCTAGTAAAGAATTATACATGGGTTGAACATCCATAATCTGAGAATCAGTAACGCTCCAAAACCTAAAACTTCCTGAGGGTGCTGACAAGACGCCACAAGTAGAGGATTCCACATCTGATCTCATGTGATGGGTTACAGTCAAAATGTGGGCAGATAAAAATACTGTATAAAGGGGCTGGAGAGATGACTCAATGGTTAAGAACACCGACTTCTTGCAGAAGACCCAGGCTTGAATCCCAGCACCCACATGGCCGCTAACAACTGTCTGGAACTCCGGTTCCAGGGGATCTGACAGTCTCTTCTGTCCTCTGCGGGCATTTCATGACACGGGTGCACTTACCTACATGCAGGTACAACACTCATACACATAAAAATAATAAAATATTTTAAAAAAATACTGTATTAAAATTACCTTCAAGTTGTGCATGCCAAGAATAGATGAAACAGGAATCAATTTCCTGTTTATACTTTGGGTCCCTTCCTCAAGATATCTCAGTATTTGCATGTTTTTATATGCAAATATTCCAAAATCTAAAGTCTGAAGCACTTCTAGTTCCAAGCATTACAGATAAGGGCTGCTAACCGAACAAAGTTGGTACAAAGTTACCCAGTCACTGGAGAGTGGATTTAAGCAGGCATATACTTAAGAGCATTCCAATCTGGTCTTTCAGACTAACTTCCCTTTTGCAGGCTTCTCAGAGCATCTGTAGTGTTTTCACTGTCTGGAATACCCCCTGGACTTGCTGCCATACACCACAAATTCAAATGTATAAAAGGGTACATGCAATGAAGAATAACTCCTCTTGTCCCCAGCCCTACTCCAGGAACAGACAGTAGAATCTGTCCACCGGCAAACATCTGCGTGCAGAGGTTTGTCAATTTTTTTTGGGGGGGGGGGGGCTTTTTGAGACAGGGTCTCCCTGTAGCCCCAGCTGTCCTGGAACTTACTTCATAGACCAGGCTGGCCTTGAACTCACAGAGATCTGCCTGACTCTGCCTCCCGAGTGCTGGGATTAAAGGCGTGCGCCACCATGCCCACAAATAGGAGCATACACACACAGACACAGACTGGCTTTTTTTTTCTTTTTAACTTATTATTCTGAGCTGGTGGCAGTGCGCTTTTAGTTCCAGCACTCAGGAGGCAGAGGCAGGCAGATCTCTGTGAGTTTGAGGCCAGCTTGGTTTACATAGCAAGTTCCCGGACAGATGGAGCTACAGGGAGACCCTGTCTCAAAAAAAAACTTTTATTTTGGGGTGCAGGGTCTGAGACAGGGTCTCAGTGTATAGCCTGGCTGCCCTGAATTTGCTATGTAGACCAGACTGGCTTTGAACTCAAGAGATCTACCTGTCTCCCTAGTTCGGGATTAAAGGTATGCAACACCATGCCCAGCCACATCTTCCTTTTCTAACTGAACAATATACTGCAGGATTATTCCATCGGCTCCTTTTTAGCTTTTGTTTCAGAAGAGTCTCACTTTGTAGCCCAGACTGGCCTGGAATTTACTATGTAGCCCAGGCTGACCTCAAGCTCTTGGCAATCCTATTGCCTTACCAGCTCTTTTTATTTTTTATTCTTTTTAATTAATTAATTTATTTATTTTAATATTCTAGTCTTTGTTGTCAGGTCCCTTAGATCTGGAGTTACAGATGGTTGTTAGCTGCCATGTGGGTGCTGGGATTTGAAGCCGGGTCTTCTGCAAAAACAACCAGTGTTCTTAACCACTGAGCCATCTCTCTACCCCCCCATAAATTTATTTATTTTTATTTTATGTGTATCAGTGTTATGCCTGCATGTATGTAAGTGCACCCGTATAGTGCAATGCCTGTGAAGAACAGAAGAGGATGTCAGATCCCCTGGAACTGGAGTTAAAGGACAGCTGTTAGCCACCATGTGGGTGCTGGGATTTGAAGCAGAATCCTCTACAAGAGCAGCTAGTGCTCTTAACTGCTGAGCCATCTCTCCAGCCACCCCCTCCTTTTTTATTTTGAGACCTCTCACTATACAACCCTGGCTGACCTGACACTTGCCATGTAGAATAGGCTAGCCTGGGACTCACAGAGATCCATCTACTTCTACCTCTCAAGTATGGGAATTAAAGGTGGGTACCACCACACCTGGCTTATTATTGTTTTTGAAAGATTATTATTTTTTATGTGTACAAGATTTCTGTCTGCATCTATCAAGTGCACTCATGTTGTAGTGTCTGTAAAGGACAGAGAAGGGTATTGAATCCCCTGGAACTGAAGTTAAGGGCAGGTGTTAGCCACTATGTAGGTGATGGGAACTGAACCTGGGTCTTCTCGAAAAGCAGCCAGTACTCTTAACCACTGAGCCATCTCTCCGGCCCCTTGAAAGATACTTTTATTTTTAATTATGTGTATATATTGTGTGTCTATATGGAATTATGTGCACATAAGTGCAGTTCCCTATAAAGGCCAGAAGAGGGTGCCAAATCCCTGCAGCTGGAGTTTCAGACAGTTGTGGGCCACCTGATGTGGCTTCTGGAAACTGAACTCCCATCCTCTGCAAGAGCAGTATGTGCTCTTAACTGCTAAGCCATCTCTCCAACCCACTCAGTTCTTTTAACAGCTGTACAATATACCACTAATTGCTGGCACAATTTTTTTAATGGTCTCCCACTAATAGGGTCTTATGTTGTTTTGAATTTGTGCTGAAATGAATTTCCTTGTATATGTTATTTCACACATGAGAGCAGAGTTTAATACATGCCTAGTTGTAAAACTGTGAGTTAAAGAAAGAATAAATGTATTTTAAATTTGGAGAAGTTCTGCAAATCATGTTCCACAGGAACTGCAATGTCCATGTATTAAAAACACTGCTCCTAAGTGTCAGAAAATGCATTTTAGACCAATTCCTGCTCTAAAAGAAAGCCCAGTAAGGAATTTTGGAGATCACATTTTGCAAATTGGTAACAAGAAAACTGCATCCTAGGACAGTATGTGGGAAGCCTTCCTAGCCAGGCAAAAGAGAACCTCAGAGAGAACCCTGAAGTAGAAAAGCTACAGGGCAGAGCCCATACAGAACCACCCCAGGGCCTGGAACCCTTGGGGAACTCTTGAGAAGTGATACTTACGTTGTCTTGGGTGCCAAGATCTGGTTTGTGCCAGGTTTCAATTTTAATCAGAAAGTCTTCTTTCATATACTCATTCTGGAAGAAGAAATAAATACCTGAGTACCCAGGCCCACAGCTGTAGAGTAACCACCTCCCACTGCTGGGGATCTTACAGTCTAGGAATCCAAAGACTCCAGCTGGCTTGATAATAATTTGCTGGGAGCCCATGTACTACAGGCGTGCTTCACCCTAGAGGAATCCACATTCCAGCCTGGGAGGCTGTACAATTGCCTTTATTTTCTAAAGGAAGAAAGTAACATTTATAAAGCTTAGGTGACTTGTCCTAAGTCACAGAGATATCTCAGAGCTAAGCCCCAAACTATGTTTGACCTTAGTATACATGTATTTAACCAATCTTCCCCATACTTTATGCACAGGATGCTGAATAGTTAACCACTAATATGGCAAGAGCCATCTTCCTAGCCAGGGAAATTCTTCACACGATGACCCCTTTCCTACAACTAGCCTTTTGCTGAGGCTACCCTTCATGCTAATTATTGTCTGCCTCCCTTGGTGCTTATAAAAACTAGTAGAGGGGCTGGAGAGATGGCTTAGCGGTTTAGAACTCTGGTTGTTCTTGTAGAAGACCTGGGTTTGAATCCCAGCACCCACATGGCAGCTAACAACTGTCTATTACTCCAGTCCCAGGGGATCCGACAGCCTCTTCTGACCTCCACGGGCACTGCACGACAAGGGTGCACTTACCTACATGCAGGCAATACATGCATACACATAAAAAATTAAAAAAAAAAAAAAAGATTAAAAACTAGAAGAGCTGTAAAAGAAAATAAGTCAAAAATTGGAGCCAAACAAAGGAGGAAAAGAAGTCATTCTCCCTCTGCAGGAATCAGTTTTGCAGCAGGGACACAGCATTAGGGTAAGTATGCTGAAGGGTGAAGAGGAGGGGGAGCGACAGAGGGGCTGGGTACAGAAGTCTTATTGACTTCACAATTTAGCCAATGGTCAGTGATCATTGGGGTCAATGGATGCCCAAATGGGAAAGGGATGTCACAGTTAGGCAGCTGAACTGAAACTTCTGTACAGCCCTCAACAGGCATGACTGGAGGGGACAAGGGAGAGCCTTAATTCATTCTGTACCTATGAGACCCAAAGCCAAGTTGCCCAAACATTACCCAAGGGGAACATGAGAACAGCCAGGACATCTAGTACAGGCACACTTTTATTTATCCTTTTCTTATAAATCAACAATGTATAACTCCAACCCCCCCCACTGGAAATACTTACTGTAATAACTGCTCCAATCAAGGACATGGAAAAAAGAAAGAAAAAGAAAAAACAAAAATTAATAAGGATGAACAGATACTGTCCTTCCCCACAGATCAAGAAGAGTAGAGACTCCACTCCCTGTGGCTTATTCCAGTCACCTCTAGGCCCCAGTATATGTCCAGGAAAGCCTCAGTGCATTAACTCTCCCCTCAAGTTCATGACAAGTCCCAACAGACCAAATCTGGGATTTAATTAAAGTGATGCCTCTATGGGCTTCTTTATGGGCAGGTCAAGGCAAGGTCTCTGATCAGCTGAGGCCCTAAAGCCCAATCAATCTGTCATAAGACCATCACTAGGGTGTCCCCACTTCCCAGGGACACAGAGCAGGGCGCTCCCAGCTAGACACTGTCTCTCTGCCAGAAGCATCCTCCTTCACACTGTAACTAAACCTCTCATACTCTGCATTCCTGCTACTGTAATAGGACCCCTCGGAAAGCACAGGTCAATTATTTATCAGAAAAAATGACTGCAGCTTCCAAGTCGCTGGGGAACAGACTACGTCTCCCCCTAGGTTCATTTTGTACCCTGTGTGCAATCCCAATTTCTGTTGGCTGCATACCACTGTGTTTTGAGTATATACAGGGTCAATATACTCCATGATTCCAAAAAACAAATGAACAACAAAAAAATGAAACTAAGTTGCTATGTTGACCAATTGAAATGAGAAGCCGAGGCATAAGCCATATAAACCACCAAATAACTCAGATTGTCAGCAATTCCTCTGTGCCCAATGGAAGATACTGATAGGGAGCTCCAGATTAGGATTAAAACTACCCTCTATTAGCATCTTGAAAAAAATCATGTTAAGAGACAAAGGAAATGAATATGCATCAGAGGACATCCAAAGATGTCAATGAGGCAGAAATTCTGTCACGCTGTCATAGAAACAGTAGCTTCAAGCTAGTCTGGTTTGATGGCTCTGGTCCTTAAGTTTCTCCAACAATTACACTTTAGCTGTCAATCTGACACACCTGGGAAGGAGCCTCAATGAATGTCCTCCATTGGGATGGCCTGTGGCCAAATCTGTACGGTATTTTCTTGATTGTTGAGTGATGTGGGAGGGCCCAGCCCACTGTGGGTATAGTCCTCTATTGTACAAGAAAGCAGGCTGAGCTGGGCATGGTGGCGCATGCCTTTAATCCCAGCACTCAGGAGGTGGAGGCAGAGGCAGGTGGATCTCTGTGAGTTCAAGCCGGCCATACTTGGCTACATAGTGAATTCAAGGCTAGCCTGGGCTACATGGGACCCTATTTAGGGAAGCTGAGCATGGGCCAGGGAGCAAGCCAGTAAGCAATGTTCCTCCATGGCCTGTGCTCCAACTCCTGCTTCCAGGTTCCTGCCCTGTGTTCCTACCTTGGACTCCCTGATGAACTGTGACCCAGGAGATATAAGTCAAACCCTTTCCTCCCCAAATTGGTATTGGTATTTTGTCACAACAATCAAAAGAATCTAGAACTACCATTCCTGGAATCCAGGTTCTCCAAGAAACCCTCTCCGAGTGTGGTCGCTGTAGGACATCAGTATCTGGTCACCTAACCCAGGGGACAGTTTTGACTAACACACATTGGTATTCTGGTTGTAATTTCATTTCCCATGTGGAACATTCATAAGGAAAGATGCCCTGATCAGCAAACAATCTGGTTTAACTGATAATTTTGCATTTGATTATAACTTTAGAGTGTGACATTAGAGCATTTGAGGCTTTTTTTTTTTTTTTTTTTTTTAAACGTGTATGAGTGTATTGCCTGCATGTAAGTGCACCTGTGTGGTGCAATGTGGTGGAGTTCAGAAGAGGGTTTCGGAGTCCCCTGGACCTGGAGTTAAGGACAGTCTGTAGCCACCATGTGGGTGCTGGGAATCGAACCCGGGACCTCTGCAAGAACAGTCAGTGCTCTTAACCACTGAGCTATCTCTCCAGCCCCAACATTTGAGGGTTTTAAAAATATTTTTATTTTATGTGTAAGAGTGTATTACCTGAATGTATGTAAGCATACCCATGTCATACAGTACTGGAGGAGGTCAAAAGGAGTTGGATCCCTTGGAACTGGAGTTACAGATGGTTGCAGATGGTTGTTAGCAGCCATGTGGGTCCTGAGAACCAAAACCAGGTCCTCTGCAAGAGCAGCCCCTGCCCTTAGCTGCTGAGCCATCTCTCCAGCCCTGACATTTGAGGGTTTTTTTTGGTCTTTTTGAGACAGGGTCTCCCTATAGCCCCAGCTCTCCTGGAACTCACTATGTAGACCAGGCTGGCCTTGAACTCACAGAGATCCACCTGCCTCTGCCTCCTGAGTGCTGGGATTAAAGGTGTGCGCCACCATGTCTGGCTCACATTTGAGGTTTTTATACACAGTATTTGTGATCCACTGAGAAGCAGATGCACTAAACTCTGACAAATTGGGTTTCTGAACCCATGAGAGTGAAGACTCTGCTCCTGGCCTTTAATGTCAACTCAGGTGATCCCTCAAGCCTTCTCTAATCCCCATTTCCCTTCCAAACGCCTCTGCATTCATAGCAGCTATAACCTTAGTTACACATGAAAAATGGAGTTTTCCTAATAAGACTAATATATGTATTTTATTTTATAGGGCCTTTTTTGGTGGTGGGGGGTGGGGGATCTCAAAATGTAATCCTGGCTGCTCTCAAATTCATAGAGATCTGCCTGCCTTTGCCTCCTGTGAGCTGGGATTAAATGTATATGCCACCATGCCTAGGAATTTTTTTGAGACAAGGTCTTGCTATACATCCCGGGCTGGCCTTAAACTCATTCTTCTTCAGCTTCCTGAATGCTGGCATAACCATACATTCACTACTGTGCCATTTTCTTAATATGGTATTTTAAAAGCCTAACTTAGTGATACTGTCCCTAGCCAAAGGTTAAGGTCACAGGGAGAGAAAGAAGAAACAGATATATTTCTCCTCCTCCTACAGACCACAACTCATCAAACCCCTCTCACACCCCAATGTCTAAGCTTCAGGGAAACAGATGGAAAGAGCTGATGAATAGAGTGCTCCTAATCTGTTTCCATTCCTCCCAGAATAAAACTGGAGCAACCTCAAAGACAGAGGGACTTGGCTCCATACTCCTTTATCTGATGTGCCCCAAACCTGGATGTGCTTAGGCCAAATTAAGATGCTGCCACTAGCTGGGTGTGGTGATATACGCCTCTAATAGGCACTCAGGAGGCAGAGACAGAGGCAGGCGGATCTCTGTGAATTTAAGGCCAGCCTTGTCTACAAAGTGAGTTCCAGTCCAGGTGGGGCTACAGGGAGACCCTGTCTCAAAAAGACACAAAAAAAAAAAAAAAGAAAAAAGAAAAAAAAAAGAGGCATCTAGCTGAATGGGTCTAGGATTCAGCATACTCATTACATACTGGGTGGATTCTAACCTCAAGGCTGGCAGCCACTAAGAAAGTAGCCCTCCCTCTCCCACCCACTGCAATTTCTTTTCTTCGTGAAGGATTTAGAAATTGTATTTTTCTTGCTTTTGTCAAGATTCATTTGCTGTGTAGAAAACTGCAATGCCACCTGCATCACATTCTCCCAAGACACAGAAGATACAGAAAACAGTGGTATCTCTCACAAGCTGGCTAAAGTTCCTATAACACATACTTAACATGACTCTAGTAGACATCAAGAAAATTCACTTTTGTCTCTGTATCAGTCTCTACCCCCCACCTTCTTCCTCTTATTTATTTTATTTTATTTTTTTTGCAGTGCTAGAGATCAAATCCACAGTCTTGTGCATGCTAGGTAAACTTAACCATTAACTACATTCCTGGCCCTGGTTTGGACTTTTTTTGGAGGGGAAGAGTAAGGAAGGTTGAGACAAGGTCTTCCTATATAGACCAGGTTGCCCTTAAACGTACAGAAATCTTACTGCTGCTGTTGCCTTGAGTGCTGGGATTACAGATATATGTAACCATGCCTGGCTCCTGCATAATGCTTTTTAAAAATGAATATGAGCTGGGCATAGTGGTGCAGGCCTACAATCCTAGCATTCAGAAGCTATGGAGGCAGGAGGATCAGGAGTTCAAGGCCAGCCCCAGGCTACATAAAGAGTTCCAGGCCAGTCTGGGCTATAAGACCCTCTTTCAAAACCGAACAAAAACAGGACTGGAGAGATGGCTGCACTTGTATTGTGTTGAATTCCCCAAAGTGAAAAGAAACCTTGTAAATTTTTATTCACAAAACATGGTCCATTATCAGTTTTAATTCTTTGGGGCAGTCCCAACGTAGCAAAGCACTGGAGAAAATGAGACTGAGCATGACAACTGTCCTTAACTCTAGGAATTCAATGCCCTCTTCTGATCTCTGCAGGCATTGCATGACACGGGTGTACTTACATACACACAGGCAATACACTCATACACATAAATAAAAATAATAAAGTTATTTTTAAGAAACAAAACAAGGGGCTAGAGAGAGGCTCAGTGGTTAAGAGCACTGGCTGCTCTTGCAGAAGACCCAGGTTCAATTCCCAGCATCCACACTGTAGCTAAGAACCATCCATAACTCCAGTTCCAGGGATCCAACACCCTCGTCTGACCTCCATGGGCATTGTATGACATGTGTGCACTTACATACATGCAGGCAATATACTCATACACATAAAATAAAAATAATAAAATCTTTAAAACACACACACACACACACAGGTTTGTGTACCTGCCTCAATTCTCAGAATATAACAGCTTTCTGTTTCACGAGTAGGGAGGAATGAAGCTTCCACTATAGCAGCTACAGCAATAAAATTACCCTAAGTGCAACATATCCTAGGAACTATCAATGACTGTGTATTCCCTCAAACAAGGTCCTTGAACTTGCACAGGGCCATGAAAGACTAGAGAGAGCAATGCCTTTAGTCATTCCCAAAATCCATAGGATAAGGAACATCTGGGCCACATAAGGGCTACATGCTTATCAGACACAATCTAGGGAGTGCCAGGTCCCAATAAACATCCAATGAAGCAGTATAGTAGGCAGAAGCTGGCAGGACCTGAGTCAGACTGCTTGTGTCAACAAACGAAAGCAACTAGGAGGAAGGATCATCCACCTTGGAGCTGTGTTCAGTGGACATATAGGACTCCCTGGCATGTGAATCAGTATCAGCGCAGTCTAAGACACCTACCCCTAAGCAGAGGTAACAGCTCAACCTGTAATCTCAGCACTTGAAAAGCTGAAGCAGAACTGCTACAAGATTTAAGGCCAGCCTAAGTTATACAGTGTGTTCTAGGCCAGCCTTGGCTACAGAGTAAAGCCCTTTCTGAGAGAGAGAGAGAGAGAGAGAGAGAGAGAGAGAGGAAAGGACTGAGGGACCTATTTCTAGATAGTCCCTTGGACTATTGAGTCCAAATGACTTAACAGGAATCCTAGACTATATAGACTGGAATAGAAAGTATCTCTACAGAGGTTCAAATCTTTCCAAAACTTCAGGCCAGAGATAATTCTAGCCCCCCCCATCAATTACAGAATGTATTGGTTCAGCAAAAGCCATCAGCTCTGAATTCTCAGGAAAGCCAGAAACTTAAGTATCTAACAATAAAGGGTGGTTTTCAAAGGTCATAGTAAACCCAGTATGGTGGCACATGCCTTTAATCCTAGTACTCAAGAGGCAGAAGCAGGGGGATCTCTGTGAGATACAGGCCAGCCTGGTCTACATAGTGAGTTCCAGGCCAGTTGGGGCTACAGGGAGACCTGTCTCAAAAAGACCCCCCCCCCAAAAAAAAAGAAAGTCATAGTATAGGTGTTCATAAATACTCCTGGAAACCCCCTCCCTAATACCTAAATCTGTAGATGATCAAGCCCTTATATATAACATGATACAGTATTTGTATGCAACCTATGTACATCCTCTTACATACTTTACAACATCTCTAAATTATAATACCTAAGAGAATGTAAGTATCATGTAAATAGTTACATTCTGTTGGTTGTTGGGATGTTTTTGTGATTTAAGATTTTCACTTATGTGTATGTGCATGTCTGTGTGAGACTATGCCATGTGTCTGGGTGCCCTCGGAGGCCAGAAGGCAGTATTGGATCCCTTGGAGCTGAATCTACAGGTGATTGTGAGCCACCTGACATGGGTGCTGGGATGGAACTTGGGTCTTCTGAAGAGCAGTACTCACTCTTATCCACTGAGCTACTTAGTGACAGGGAAAGTATTCACTTAAGAAAGAAAAATGAGCACTTCAAAAATTAAAAATCTAAGTTCACCAAGATGGCATAGTGGATAAAATCTTGTCACCAACCCTAACAACCTGGGGTAAATCCCCGAAACCCATATGGCAGAAGGAGAGAACTGATTTACACAAGTTGTCCTCTGACCTTCACACACATGCAGTGGCATGTGCTCTTGCATGTGCGCGCATGCGTACACACACATACACACACAGAGACAGACAAATGTAATAAAAAATTTTTAATTAGTAATTCAATTACATGAGACCCTACTCAAAAAAATTAGTAATCAGGCTGGAGAGACAGCTCAGCGGTTAAGAACATTGACCCCAAGTAAGAGGAGTTTGTTCTGTGCTGTCTCTGCCTGTGATTGTCAACTTGACAGTTCCTATTCAGCTGATGGCCAAGTTGTATGGACAATATTGGCACACCCTCCCAAGCCAAAGAGACCCCCCCCACCTCACTGCTTCACTGGTTTAATCTGGAAAATAAAGGTAGGACACCAAGCTCTGATCCACCCCCACCAGGCCTACTGGCCCACACCTTCTTCCACCTGGGGTCAAACACCATACTCACCAGTTCTGCAATAAGGGTAGGCATTCCATGCTTTTTCATGTATATTCAGGGCTCCCTCGGGGGCCAGCATTCGAACAAATGTGGGTACTTTGCTGCAGTGAAAGAAAGGGAATGAAGAAAAATGGAGGTAAAGAGAAGTTTTCACATCACACCCTTCAACCCAGAGTTCCTGCTTTTCAGTTTGGAACTGACAACCAAGTTTCCATGAGATAAGCTGACTACTGTGTTTGAGAAGTTACCTGCCAGAGCTTGATACCTTGGCTTGACTAGCTACTGATAGCACAAATAAGACAGTGTATGAGACCCTGGTCTGCCAACTTCCACTGACCAGTAAGTACATCCTCATTACTGTCTCGCAGAGCTCACTGGATATAGGGTGTTGCAGTGCACAGCACAAGGGTAAGATACAAAGAAGACAGCTGCAGCCTGGAACCGCCAGTGTTAGGCTGCCTACAGTCCAGGGTGATCAGCTGACTAACTCAAAATATTGGATCCAATATGGGAGATGGCCCAGTTGGTAAAGTGCCTGCCCGAGTTTGGATCCCCAGCACCCACATAAAAAGCCAGGTTTTGGAGCTAGAGAGATGGCCCAGTGGTTAAGAACACTGGTTGTTCTTGCCGAAGACCCAGGTTCAAATCCCTGCACCCACATGGCAGCTAACAACTGTCCATAACTCCAGTTCCAGGGGATCCGACAGCCTCTTCTGACCTCCGCGGGCACTGTATGACATAGGTGCACTTACCTACAACCTACATGCAGGTAATACACGCATACACATAAAATAAAAATAATAAATTAATTAATTGAAAAAAAAAAGCCAGGTTTGGTGGCACATGTAACCCCAGTGTTAGGCGTGGGATCAGGGCAGGGGGCGCAGAAACAGGAAGATCCCCAAAGATCACTGGCCTCTGGTGTGCACACACACACAGACACACAGACACACAGACACACTAATATGTTATCCAAAATGATCTGGTCTACTTCTATAAGTTCTCAGAGATCAGGAGAGCCTTAGGGTCACCTGCCTCCTAGGATAATTTCTTCTCCCTTCCAGACCCTCAGCCCTCCTGAGGCACCTACACACAGGTGGCATATACACACAGACAAACACACAAAAATAAATTTAAAAATAATAAAGATAGGGGCTGGAGAGATGGCTCAGTGGTTAAAAACACTGGTTTTCTTGCAGAAGACCTGGGTTCGAATCCCAGCACCCACATGGCAGCTAACAGCTCTCCGTAACTCCAGTCCCAGGGGATACGACAGCCTCTTCTGACTTCCTTGGGCATTGCACAACATGGGTGTACTTATCTACATGCAGGCAATACACGCATACACATAAAAAAAATAATAAAAGTTTAAAAAGTAATAAAAATATTTGGCTTGTGAGATGGCTTAGTGGGTAAAGGTGCTTGCTGCCAAGGCTGACAACCTGAGTTCAATACCCAAATCCATATGGTGAAAGAAGAGAACCAACCCCCAAAAGTGGTCATATGGCCTCCATATGCACACTGTGGCATTCATGCATGCACACATATACATATGTGCACAAAATAAATACATGTAAAAAAATTTTAAGAGGGGCTGGAGAGATGGCTCAGTGGTTATGTGTGTACTGATCTTGTAGAGGATCCAGCACCCACAATAAATGGTTCACAAACACCTGAAACTCCAGCTCCAGAGGGATCCAATGCCTGTGGCATCCAAGGGTACCTGTGCTCACATGCACACACCCACACAGAGACACACACATATATACATAATTAAAAATAATTTTTTTTAAAGGGGACAGGGTCTCCCATTAGCCCCAGCTGGCCTGGAACTCACTATGTAGACCAGACTGGCCTCAGTCTCACAGAGATTCACCTGCCTCTGCCTCCCACCTCCCACACACTGGGATTAACCATCATGCTCAGCACAACTACACTTTTAGAAACATTTATTATAGATTTAAATCAAAAGATTTATGTAGAGGTTGGAGAGATGGTTCAGCAGTTAAGAGCACTGGCTGCTCTTATAGAGGACCCAGGTTCAGTTTCCAGGACTCACACAGCGGCTAATGTCCTTAACTCCAGTTCCAGGGGATCTGATGCCCTCTTCTGATCTCCAAGGGCATTGCATGACTTGGGTGCACTTACATACGTTCAGGCAATACACTCATATACATAAAATAAAAATAATACGCCTGACGTGGTAGTGCACACCTTTAATCCCAGCACTTGGGAGGCAGAGCCAGGCAGATCTCTGTGAGTTCAAGGCCAGCCTGGTCTACATAGTGAATTCCAGGACAGCTGGGACTACAGGAAAACCCTGTCTCAAAAAGACCAAAAATTAATAATAAAATATTTTTAAAAACTTATGTTCCCAGCACCCACATGGTGGCTAACAACCATCTTTAACTCTAGTTCAAGGGGATCTAATGCCCTCTTTCTGTCCTCTATGGGCACTGCATGACACGGTGCACTTATACACATGCAGGCATAACACTCATACACATAAAAATAAATGAAAAATTTTAAGTATACAAAAAAAAAAACTTAAGTAGAAGTTTTGTTGGAGTATGTAGATAGCTGGAAATGCCTATAAAATACATATCAAGAAAGGACTGGTAAATTGGGCGTGGTGGCACATGCCTTTAATCCCAGCACTCAGGAGGCAGAGGCTGGTGGATCTCTGTCAGGAGAGCCTGGTCTATATAGTGAGTGCCAGGCCAGCTGGAGGTACAGGGAGATCCCGTCTCAAAAAGCCAAAAAAAATAAGAAGGGGTGGGGTTGGTCAAACAGCTTTCAGCACATGTGTACAACACACTATATGTATTTTATTTATTCTTTTTTTTTTTTTTTCTGAGACAGTCTCAGTTTGTAACCCAATCTGGCCTGGAACTGAATACATAGTCTGAACCTCTTGCCTCAGCTTCCCAGGTGCTGGGATTTCAGGCAAACGCCACCAGGCTTGGCTCTTATTTGTGCTTTAAAAGAGTGACACGGGCTGGAGAGATGGCTCAGCGGTTAAGAGCACTGACTGCTCTTGCAGAGGACCCGGGCTAGATTCCCAGCACCCACATGGTGGCTAGGAACCATCCTTAACTCCAGTTCCAGGGGAGTCCGAAGCCCCCTTCTGACCTCCTCAGCATTGCATGACACCGATGCACTCATATACATGCAGGCAATACACTCATACACATAAAATAAAAATAAATAAAAATATTTTAAAAGAGTGAGACAGGAGGGCTAGGGTTGTAGCTCAGTGACAGAGCACTGACCCAGAATAGATGAGGTTCTGAGTTGAATCCCCAGCACTACAAAAAAAAAAAAAAAAAAAAAAAGAGGCAGGAAATGCTAAGGCAGCTATAATATGAGACCTAACAAAAAGAGAAAAGTGTGTATAGGACAATATATCAACATAACAGAGGAAATGAACATCCATTTATGCACACTTTACATACATACTTCCATACTTGGGGACAATGAAAGCAAAAAAAAAAAAAAACCAAAAAACAGAGCTGGGCACGGTAGTACATACCTTTAATCCCAGCACTAGGGAGGCAGAGGCTGGTGGATCTCAGTGAGTTCAAGACTAGCCAGGTCTACATAATGAGTTCCGGGCCTGCTTGGGGCCACAGAGAGACCCTGTCTCAAAAAGACCAAAAAAAGAAAAAAAAACAAACCTTAAATGAACAAAGCAATACCACCCATTCCCAATGTGATGAAGCAACTTGGGCAACAGGTTTATAACCTGGAAATACCTCCAATTAACCAATACCACCACTTCACCACTTTCAAACCAGGCCACTATTCCTGCCCTGCTGCCTCAGTCACATACCTCTGTAAGTGGTAGATCTTGTGTGTGTACTGGCCCTTCTCACCATCCTTCTCGTAGGGCTCGTTCACCAGGACCTCCACACCTTCACCACCACCAGTTTCATTTTTACTGGCCTCAGCCACAGAATACAGCTGCCCCACTTGATACTAAAGGAATAAAGATACAGACATTATTTGTGACAGTTACACATGGTGCAGCTGCTGGTAACTGTCATCCAGGGGCTTCACCTGGGGTTTCACATTGGTCCTTGCCAAAATCTACCCAAACGCTCTCTCCCTCCCTCCTTCCCTTTCGTCCTTCCTTTTTTTGTGTCAGGGATTGAACCTCAAAACACTCTAGACAAGTGCTCAACCACTGAGTTGTTACATCCCCAGCCTTCTTTTTAATTTTGAGATAAGGTCTCAAAAATTGCTCAGGCTGCTCTTGAACTTGTTCTGTGTAGGCCTTGAACATGAGATCGCCCTGCCTCAGCCTCCTAAGTAGCTGGCATTACAGACCTTAACCCACCCATGGCCTCTCTTTAACCATCAGATGTGTTTAGTTTCATGGTCCCATTTTCACAAACCCATGAGTTTAAAGAGAGCAGAGAATATACTTAATCTTATAGCACCATCTAGAAAACATTAAAGTCTGGGGTAGTTTTTGACCTGGACCCACCTCTGGTTTTATGACCCCCAAACAGGATCTGAGCTGATTGCTAGAAACTGCTTTATCCTACTTACTTAAACAGATCCTAAAGCCAAGCATGGTGGCTCACAATTACAATGCCAGCACTCAGGAGGCTGAGGTAGGTCTGCCATGAGTTGAGGCCAGCATGGGCTTATACAGTTTTCTAGGTTATCTTGGGCTCCAGTGTGATCCTGTCTTCAACAAAACAAAACAAACAACAAAAAATAAACATGTATAAATAAGAAAGTAATCAGGTACTAAGATGTAACATCCTGTCAAAGAAAGTTGTGTATTCCTCTTGTGTATTTCATAACACCTGGTGAAAACTGGCTCACCAACTTACTTTTTCTCCAGTATTGGCCTTTCTGCACCCTGAAAGGACCTAAGAACTCTTTCAAGCAACAAGACCTCCCAAGATTTTCCAGATTCCTAGAAGAGCTGAAGCTGTGCGCCTGCTTCCTGTGTTAAGAGTGGATTCCTCTTAACACAGGGCTGTGCTGGCTGGATGCCCCGTGTTGGGACTTGCTAGATGGCAAAAGCGTCACCCTATCTAGTCACTAAACAAGATCACTGGCCTCCTGACCCCTTCAGGACAGCTTTGTGTAGGACCAATAACCTAGACAGTATCCAGGCCTGGCCCTCTGACCCAGGTTTCTAAGAGAAATTATCTAGATGGAAAATATGACAAAGCTGGGGGTATGGCACACCCCTGTTAATTTCAGCACTTCAGAGGCAAAGAGAGGCAGGTAGATCTCTCTAAGTTCAAGGCCAGCCTGGTCAACATAGCAAGTTCCAGGCTAGACAGGGCTATTTAGTGAGACCCTGGGTCAAAAACACAAAAACAAGGGGCTGGAGAGATGGTTCAGCAGTTAAGAGCACTGGCTGTTCTTACAGAGGACCCAGGTTCAGTTCCCAGCACCCCCATGGTGGCTAACAACCCCTTCCTTAACTCCAGTTCCAGGAGCTCCAACACACTCTTCTGACCTCCATGGGCACTGCATAACACAGGTGCACTTACATATACACAAGCAATACATTCATATACATCAAAAAAAAAACACACACACAAAAACAAACAAAAAGAAATGATGAAGAGAAAATGAGCAGTGACAGGCAGATCAGGAAATTACATCTGTCCAAAAGATGCATCTTCCCATGGCTGCCAATGCCGACCAGGCCAGACGGTTTAAATAGGATGAGGAAAGGAAAGACAAGAATGTGATTCCCAACATGCTAGGGGAATGTGTGCAAAGTTCTCCTCACCCTCCATCCCTCCCAGAACCCCCAGAGGTGAAATTAGGGGTGTTTCCTCTCTGAGATTAAAGCCAAGCAGCTGGACCTCCTGCATCAGCCAGCAACAGTAGCACACAGAGCTGCTTTACCTCACCTGGATGCCTTCTCTAACTCGGCTCCCTCAGTGTTGCATGGATATTTCTGGTCAACATCTAGAGAGCAAAGCAGTACACCAGGGCAATGTACTACTCACCACAAAGCTGAGTACTACTCACCACAAAGCTGAGTACTACTCACCACAAAGCTGAAAAAGCTCAAGTTTCCAAAGCAAAAACCCAGAACAGAATGCCAAGAAGCCCACACAGTGATCAAGGCTCAATTAATCCCATAAAGAGGAACATCTGGGTGAGAGCCAGTCACCTTGATCTTGCTAATCCTGAGCAGTATCAGTGCTGCCTTGACACTTCATGGAACCTCACACTGTCCCTCTACCTTTCCACCACCTGCTAAGGCATACTTGAAACCCCTATCAAGTGGGTCACAGTTTAGCTGACCAAGGCTTCCTAAAATGAAGCAGCAGGAGCTCTGTTTCAGAGAAAAGTCATAGGATATTGAACAACTGACTCAGCAAATCCCAAAGGATTTTTTTGCCGGCTGGGGAGAGGGCCTGTGGAAGGGCCTGGTTGCAGCTGACTGGAGTGCTCCTTGGGGAGGGGCCCCAGGACAGGCAGAGACCATGGTCTTCAGGGCTCCCTTTCAGCCGCAGGAAATCAGAGGGCTGGCTCTAAGAGGATCAGTCTGTGGGCTGGCATCTTTGCTTTAATCTCTCTTGATATTCTGATCCTTTAATCCCAACAAGACAAGTGAGGCAGTTTTGTTAATTCAAAGAGGTAAAGAAGACTGATCTTCACATGGCCTAAGTGAGGGACAGACACTTCATGTCAGAAGGTTCCCTTTGTCCCAGCTGCTCTACATCCTGGGAAGGCTGCCAGACCCAAGATTGGGTGGCAGTAAGGGCTGGGGGGTCAGACCATAAAATCAGATAAGGAGCTCCAAGGAGACCAGGATTCCAGCCTCCTCGAGCTGAGGACAATGCCCTTGAGAGTTGTCCCCTTGTATCCTGCCCTAAGCAGACAGAGTCTCTACCACTTTGACAATCGGTAAATGGGAGCCCAGAAGTCACAATGGGTAGATCAGAAATTCTGAATGAAACACAATGAAAAAGAAGTACAGCGAGGCACAGGGGTGCACACCTGTAATCCCCAGCACTGGGAGGCTGAGCCAAGAGGATTAATAGAAGGCCCCCTGGGCTACATACTGAGTATCAGACTAGCCAAGGCTAGACAGTAAGACTGCCTCAATAAATAAATGAAATGAAAATAAAACAAGAAAACCAGCACAGCTGTTGGCCCCACCCATATAGCACTGTCAGGTTAGGTCCACAGAGGAGCAATGCCATGAGTCTCTGCCCTGTCCACAGTGGCAGGTAGGCCAGCCTGGACCAGGAACCACTGGTAGACACACCCATGTCAAACAGCCAGGGTTTTCCAGTTCTGCTGCAGGATGCCTGGAAACCAAGTAGTATTATGCTAAAGGCTCTGGCCAACCAGAAGCTAATTCTGCTCCCACACATCGATTCAGGCCATCAGGATAATCATAAAGCCATGACCTTCTCCTCTCCTTTTTTTCTTTCTTCCCCAAATCAGAAGCTCTAAGGGATGCAAAACATGTCTCTAATTCAGGAAGTTAATCTACTAGTCACATGATACTGGGCTTGTACTCACCGGAATGGTAAGTCAGGAAGAGGTTATTGACAGAAACTCTGAAAAAGCTAATCATTACTTTTTTCTTCTTTGGCCTCCCATTCTAGAATTTTCTGATCACCTGGAACTAAGATTCAAGCCTTCAAAAGACTGCCCATGGTTTCTTGCTGAGAACAGGCTGACCAGTTCCACATAGACATGAATCCTAACCAGCATTCACTTCCCAAGTGACTGCTCAGCCCAGACTCTGATTACTCCACCCTGTCTCACTTCCTCAATGCTGCAAAAACACCATCACAAGCTAAAAACTGCCAGTTGTGGATGTTCTCAAGGTGGAAATTTCCCTGTCTTTCCAATCCTGGTCCTACTATGAGAAGTCAAGGTTCTGGTCCCTTGAGTCTGACTGCAGAGCAGCAGAGGTATTCCCACACAGCTCTGGTCCTTCTGTTGCAGCACTCTCACAGGCAACAAGGGGACTCCCTGAAAAAGGACCCATTCTGCCTGAGACACTACATGGAGAAACCCCACGTTTCTGGGGGACAGCTTTCTGATCAAGGGGAAGGATGATCCTGTATAGCAGAGACAGTATCTGACCACCTAAGTTTCAGGGCAAGAGACATGCTGGGCCTTTAAGCTTGGCCATCTCTTTGAAATCATGTATCACTTGCTTTTTTTTTTTTTAATTTTGTAATTATTTTTATTAGAGACCAGTTACCTGAACATAAGTGCATCAGAGCAGGAGCACAACAGATCCCTAATCACTGAAACACAAAAGTTCCCTCTACTAGCAAAACATGCATAAACACACATGTAGATGCAACACAAAATGTGAATGTATAAACTATTTAAGAATATGCTGTAAATATACAAAACCGAGTATAAAACTCCAAGCTATCTTCAATTCATCTACTCCAAATCTCCACTTGCTATTTTTAATGACAGCAAAGTGCTCAAAGGAAATGGGCCGACGCCTTCTCAAGAGCACATCCTTTAGCCCAGGCACCTGGTTTTCAGGTATATCTCAGGTATCACATAATCTATCCAGACATTTCCTCTTTTCCTTAGGTTTCCAAGGCCTCCCCCTACTCCCTCTAGTTTGTTTGGAGTTTTTATTTTGTTTTGTTTTAGACAGGATATCACTCTGTAGCCCTGGCTGCCCTGAAACTCACTTTGTAGCTCAGGCTGGCCTCACAGTGATCATCCTACCTCAACCTCCCAAGTGCAGGGTTACAAATGTGAGACACTCAAATTTTCAATTAATTAATTAATTATTATTATTATTATTATTTTGGTCTATTTGAGACAGGGTCTCCCTGTAGCCCCAGCTGGCCTGGAACTTATTATATAGACCAGGCTGGCCTTGAACTCAGAGATCTACCTGCCTCTGCCTCCCAAGTGCTGGGACTAAAGGCATGCGCCACCACGCCTGGCTAATTAATTAATTTTATATTGAGATGGAGTTTCATTGTATGCCTAGACTTGCCTCAAACTCTTTATGTAAGCCTCTACCTACCAAGTAGCTGGGACTACAAGCAGGCACCACAGCACCCAGTTTAGTCACTTTTATTTGTACTTCTCAAATTAATCAGACCATGTTCAAGTTCACCTCTGTCCTCTCCCAGGTCTCCACAGCTCTTCTGAGACAATGCAGTCTAATACTGGAGACAATATTCTTGGGGGCCAACACATGTTCACCCCTCTTGGGGGCCAAGAAGCTTGGTGATTTGTCTTATCTAAAGAGTGCCCTGTGGGGGTCTGGAGAGATGGCTCAGTGTTAAGAGTACTTGCTGCTCTTCCAAAGGACCTGAGTTTGGTTCTCAACATCCATGTCAAGTGGCTCACAACTACCTGTGATTCCAATTCCAGGGAATCCGATGCCCTCTTCTACCCTCTGTAGGCACCCATGCATATATCACACACACACAGACACAGACACAGACACACACACACACACACACACACACACACACACCCCTGAGTAAAAATGAAATTTAAAAAAAAGAAAAGTGCCGCCTTGCTGGCCTGCTTTCATTTCTCAAAGGTCCTATTTAGAGCACAGAAGAAGTTACCACAGGAGCTTCCCTTTGGATCTACAGGAAGGAGATGGAGTCATGACAGAGAGCACCAGACTGGCCTTCAGGTTTCACTGAAAGCTGGGGTGGAGCTGTGCATTTAGAGAGAAGCAAAGAGCAAACTGCGCCAGGAAAAGAGAGTAGAGGAACCTCAGAAAGGGTGGGACAAGGGAGGCTCTGTGACTGTTTTGCTGTCCAAGAGACAGCTCTGAGTCAGCACAGCCTATGAACCTTCTTGTAGCAAATACTGCTGCCAGATCTGCATACACAGGGCTGTCAGACCTAGGAACCATAAAAGGACAGAAGACAAGCCAAGCCCATTTGTCATTCTCTACCCTCTGTAAAAGGAGGGCTTTTGTCTTGGTCTTTCCAAGAGTTTCCTAGCATGGCTAGGGACTTGGGAGATCTCCTGCCCTGCTGGTTTGTTACACAACTGGAGAGAGCCATGTACACTTCCCAGCCTAGTCACAGAGGTCCCAGACAGATACACACTCCAGTTCATCAATAACACATCATAAACAAGCTCAGTCCCAGCAGGTAAAGAGCTGGTTTAGTCTCTAGTCAAAGCCATAGAGCAAACTGATAGCTTGGGTCAGGTTGTGCCCAGGTGCCCACATTCACCACACAAGTACTCTCCTTCAACAGAAAGGGGCACAAAATTTTCAAAGGAAAATTCCCTTTGAGCTCTGGTTATCTCTATCTTAGACCAAATATGAAAGCTACAAGAACAGTATGGCTGCTCCCAGGCCAACTGAGCCAGTGGTTACAAGCACTTATTAACAACTATGAACGAGAAATGAAAAGGACTTACCTCATCTACAGACACAGGCAGGATGACTCGACTAGAAGAGAGGAAAAAGAATATCAACCTTAGGCTCTGAATTCTGCCCAAGGCTCTTAGAGCATCAGCTTAGAACAGTATTTTGTTGTATATGACCCTCTATTTACTGGCAAAAATCCCAGCAGGGAATGGTTCTCTGAGTGTTTCAAGGACCCTCCATGCCCTTTTGGAATTCTGTTTAGAACCCTGTGATTCAGGGCAAACCTGAATTCCCCACCACCTACATTTTGTAGGCCACTGGCTCAGATCTGGAGCAATCTTCTTTGCTCATTCCCTCAACCATCTCTTTCCCACCGAAACTTGTCAATGTGTCAGTAAAACAGAAGCTAACAGAAAAGGACCCACCATAATAAGGATTTAAACCCAAAGAATCTGGTCCTTCAGATATGCATCTGTGAGCCCAACTTCATAAATTAGCCCTCAATGTCAAAGGCTGGGAAGGGGCCAAGGTCCTTAGAAGCTTGACTGCCTTAAGAGCAGGCATCACCAATTGTTGCTCTTGGAAGGATGTGACCAAGCAAGCTACTACCACACAGCTCTAAAAGAGGATCCAGCTCTGACCTCCAGAAGCTGTGCAAAGGCACCCTAACTCATCATTGTCTTTCCTTCTCCTCAATGACCTTCAATTGTGGGAGGTATCATAAATAACCTGATGGAGAAGCCATGGCCAGCAAATTCCCCAGGTGGGTCAGAACTCCAGACTCACCAGGTGAGAGGACTGGTCGCACTTCTCAGGTGGCGTGTATCTGTAACAGATCCATGGCTAACCCCTAGTTCAATGCTTTGAGGTCAAAGAGCTCAGGCCTTGAGCGAAAAGGCCTTGGCTGGACTCACAGTCAACCTGGTTCCAAAGCTGAGATTCCCAGTTCTCAGAGCCTTGTTGGAAACTGTTGGGCCTTTCTGCATCTTGTGTGCTAGCTTGATGAAGCATGAGCACACCCTCCCTCCTCTACAGGTTCAAGCATGGTCCTTGCTCCAGGCAGCTAAATCACTCCCTATTTCCTAGTTTCACAATGTTCCCCCAGGAAGCAAGAAGCACACAGAGGGATCTAAGGAAAACATCACAGTAAAAGCCAGGATCAAGCAGAAAAAGTAGCAGGAAAATTAAAATCGACTCCAAGTCTCTACTGCCTGCTAACTCCCTTCCTCCAGAACGACTCAAATAATGTAAATCCTCCGTTTAGAGAAAGCCAATGGTGCAGAAAAACACTCCCAACTCAGAGGCAGAATTGCTACACCCTCAGAAGAAACTTCCTAGAAAACAATATGCCTTTTATCTTCAAGAACACAGCAAAAAAATCACATCCAAGAATTTATAGAAATCAAATTAGAATGAATCCTGCTGGAAGACATGTCAGAAAAAGCAACGGGGGCAACCTTCAGACCCAAGCTTCACCCCAAGAGACTGGTATCAGCCAGTGCCCCCAAGGATGCTCCCATTACAGCCACACCCTCAGACATCTCTCCAGGCTCCCTGGGAACAAAACCACTTCAGAAGGCAGAGGAGACAATCCCAAAGGAGAGGGCAACAGAGGTCCAGCTAGGCCAAGACCAGAACCATGCTCACTACGATGTGACCTTCACTTACACCCTTCCAGAGCTACAGCACTACAGCCACAGCTAAGTATTTTGATGCCCACCACCCCCAATCTGCTGTCTGTCCTGCCCTGCCCTGTCTCCCATCCTGTCCCTTGCCTAGAGATGCAAACACATGACACAAATCAGGAAGGAAGCACAGATGCAGGCAGGCTCTGCATCCTGGCACCTTAGGCCTTTCCCTGGCAGGCTTCAGGGGGAGGAGAACAAAGACTGGGGAAGGAACACCTGCCTCCCAAATTCACTTAGATCTCTTCCTTCCCCTATCTGACCTTCTTTTCAAAACTATAGATTTCTACAGACTGCATGATTCATGTGATGATAGAAAATAAATAAATTAATCAATCAATCAATATCTGCAAAGTGAGAAAAGCTCATTCATTTGAACTCTGAGGATTAAAATTCGAAGTGCACCCATTCTCCTTGGAGAACACTGGCAAGCTCACATTCTTGTTCTTCACCACATAAAGCTCTGAGCTCTGGCTGGATTAACAGAAGACTGGACATCAAGAAAGAGAGGAGACAGGGCCTCTAAATAATACTCTTCACATTAGGTATCTAGGTGGGATGACACCTGGGTCTCTACTTCCTGTCATCCAAACTGCACACTATATCCTCAGTATCTCAAACATGGAGCAAACAACGTGGGAATGGACAAAGTGTCTTCACTGGCAAAATGGAAAGAGTCCTCAGCATACCTGCCTGGTCATAAGAGCTGCACAAGTTTCTCTACTTGGACATTGCCCATTTCTAAACTTCTGGGGATTAGGGTCTAATGCTGCCTACTTGCCCTCGCCTCAAGGGAAGCTCAGCTTTATTGTGGTCTGTACACAGACACATCAAATTTCTCTTGAGGCGAGCAACCCTGTGATGTTTGGGGGAGGGGGGATGGGAAGGGTTAAAAAGTCCTGGGATGTTTACTTGGAACCACAAACTTCAGAGATGGGTCACTATCTAAAAGATTTAGCAATTCAAACAACGCCACGTGTCATCCAGTCCTTGGATTTTAGGATCAAACTCATCTATCACCCAGCAACTCCTACCAGAAATCAACAGCTCCTCACCCCAAAAGCATTACTTAAGAACTCCTTCACCCTTCACTGTTTCTCCTCTATTAATGGCAGTGGGAACTGCCTCAATTCCTCCAAGCAATTTCCCCACCTCTTTGCACCAAGACCCAGAATGCCCAAGACAGGATTGCCCCTGTCCTTGTCCCCACCACCTTCAAGAGGCATATTCTTTTTTTTTTGGTCTTTTTGAGACAGGGTCTCCCTGTAGCCCCAGCTGTTCTGGAACTATCCGCCTGCCTCTGCTGGAATTAAAGGCAGAGTGCTGGGATTAAAGGCGTGCACTACCACGCCCGGCTATATTCATTCTTATACTGACTTTCTGGTTTATCTTGGACCAGGGCTAACTTCCTGGCCTTCTATATAGCCACAACTCCTTCAAATCACTTTAGACCATGTCTATTATTTTCTAGACTCTTCATTCAAATGTCACCAAGTCCTAAGCAGTCCTCCTAAGCTTTTTCCAAAAACATGCTCTTCCGCACCCACCACTTGGAATGGTATCCACGGCACTCCAGCCACCCCCAGCCTGCATCTCAGCCCCTATGCTCTTTCTTCCTTCCCATCACCCAAGTCTGGCCCTGACTTACTCTTTTTTCTGCAACCAATTATTACAATCCTTCACAGCTGCCTAAGGCAGCCACTGTAGAACTGTACCACCCCAACACCATTCCAGGAGCTATCTTATCTGATCTTCCCTGCCCCTTACTTAGTACAGCTCAGCCCTCAAATCCCTCCCCACCATTAGCCAGCTCACCCGAGCTGCCTGCCCTTGTCCCACTGCTCCCCGGTCTTTTAGACAACTCCTCAGCCCCTCCTGCAGTTTGGGCTGGCCTTCATCCCTCAGCGCCCACTAAAAGACCACACCACATCCCGTGCTCAAGATTCCCTCGGCCCCTCCGCATGCTCTGTCTGGCTCTTGCTGTCGCTTTGACCCCTCCTCAGGCTCTGTCCGGCCCTCGCCGGTCCTCGGCCTTCTCTCCGGCCTGTAAATCCTCACTGCTCCATCAGCCCCATCTCTGGTGCTCGCTCTCTCTAGTCTCTTCGGCCCCACCTCAGGGCCTGTCCAGCCCCCAATGTCCCTTCCGCCCCTGCTAGGCGGCCCAACAGCCCATCCGGTGCTCTCCATCCCTGCGCGGATCATCTGCCTTCCCGTCGTCGTCCCGACCCTCCCTTCCGCTTCGCTTCCGCACCGCGACCCAACACTCACTACTCCTTGAGCAGCACCATGTCGATCGGCGGCTCGGCAGCTCCCCGCTGCCCGCCCGGCCTCCCGCCCGCTTCCCAGCGGCCGCTCTCCCCGTGGCCCGACCCGGCCCGGCTGCCTGTGCGCCTTCGCCGTGGTCTGCTCTGTCCCCGCCGCTCTCGCTGCGGTCGCGGCGCGAGCTCCTGCCGCCCTGGCCTCACCACCTCCCGCGCCGCTACCGACGCCGCCCGGAGCTCCGGTTCCGCAGCGCCGCGCGGGGGCGGGGCGTCTCTGCGGCAACCAGAGTGTCAGACGCAGCGGTGCGCGCTGACCTCACGCGGGGGCGGGGCCTCTTGGACACGCCTCCTCCTGTCCTTAAATGGGCTGCGGCTCCGACGTCCGCGTCAGCGTCCGATGTGGGCTCCAGGTGGGTAAAGATTCAGAAGGTGAAGCAGGCATCTAGGTGTCTGCTCAGCGGAAGCTCTTCTGGATCAGGAATGGATGCACCTGTATTCTTGGACCTCGCTGGTGGGCGGTTTGAGATCCAGGAAAAGGAATGTCAAACATGAAAAATTAGGGTCTTCTCGGAGGTTTAATTCAGCGGCAAGGCCTAGCTTGTATGAGGGTTGAACCCCAGCAAGAAAAAATTAAAAATGCAAGTTCTCTAAGTACTTTATTCCATAGCTCTACCATAAAGTACTGTCACTATCCTAATTTGTAGACGGCAGAAGTTAGACTATCCCAAGTTCACGGCTTCTAGATAGAGCTGAGATTTTAACCCAGTAACTTAAGAATCTTGTCATTCATCCAATAAACATTGGCTCAGGGTCTGCTGTATACCGGAGTGGTGAGAGAGTGAACAAGACAGGTACCATCTTGCTCTTAGGGCACTCAGGGTCAAATGGAAGGTAGATCGGTGATGGCTGAAGGTGACAGGATCAGGCAATGAAAGGGGCTGCCAGGCCTGGTGGTGCAGGCCTGAATCTTAGCTACCTGTGGGCTGAGGCAGGGAGATTGAACATTCAAAGCCTTCCAGAGCAACTTAGACCCTGTCTCAAAAAGTAAGGAAACGGGCTGGAGAGATGGCTCAGAGCACTGACCGCGCTTGCAGAGGACCCGGGTTCGATTCCCAGCACCCACATGGCGGCTGCGAACCATCCTTAACCCCAGTTACAGGGGAATCCGAAACCCTCTTCTGACTTCTGTGGCATTGTACAACACGGGTGCACGCACATACACATTAAATAAAAATAATAAAAAATGGCCGGGCGTGGTGGCGCACGCCTTTAATCCTAGCACTCGAGAGGCAGAGGCAGGCAGTTCTGTGAGTTCAAGGCCAGCCTGGTCTCTATAATGAATCCAGGACAGCTGGGGCTACAAGGAGACCCTGTCTCAAAAAGACCAACAAAAAAAAAAACAACAAAGTAAGGAAACAGCTAGGGAAACTGCTCAGAGGTAGAGTACTTGCCTAGTAATGCAGGGGGCCCTTGGTTCCATCCCAGAGCCAGCCACAAAAAGGAGAGAAAAAAAAAAAAAAAGAGAAATAAAAAAAGAGAGAGAGAGAGAGAGAGAGAGAGAGAGAGAGAGAGAGAGAGAGAGAGAGGCAAACAAGTAGGCTATGAAAGTTGAGCTTGACAGGATTCCACACGACACCTGACTGTGAAGGCTTAGTCAGGGAAGGCATCCTAAAGGAAGAGATGCTAAGTGTAGCCTGGGTAGGGCAGAGTGAATGTAAACATTGCAGTCAAGGAGAGCAGGGAGCATTTGGGAAACAGGAAGAGGTAACTGGAGCATCTAGGGACTGGGAGGGGCTAGGTTTCTGGTAGGTAATGATAATATGGGCTAAGGACCATGGTAGGACAGCTAAGGGTTTTAGCAGTGATGCCAGCAGATTTAGGGTACAAAGTTTCCCTCTAAAGGCTGGGGGCAAGGGGTAAAGAAGAGAGGGATGGGTCAGGTCAAAGAATAGGCAGGGGCACCAGGTAGAAAGTTGCTGCAGATGTACAGGGAGCAGTGAGAGGTTAAAAATAAAAGCAGATTGTGCTGGTTGTGGTGGTACATGCCTTTAATCCCAGCACTTGGAAGGCAGAGGCAGGCGGATCTCTGAGTTCAAGGCCAACTGGGGCTACAGGGAAACCCTGTCTTAAAAAGACCAATAAATGAATAAATAAATAATAAATAAATAAATAATAAAATAAAAGCAGAACTTGCTGACTAATTGGTAGGGCAACTGTGAGAGCAAGGGAGGAAGTGAGAAAAGCATACAAGTTTCCAGACTGGGAACCTGAATACACAGACTGCATTCAGTGAGAACTCAGGAAAGGGTAGGCAGAGAGGAGCCAGTGACTCCAGGTGGGACTGGGAGTGGGGTTGTGCTTGAATGACAGCTGGATGTAATGGTGAGGGAGCTACCTAAGGCAGGAACTTGGAGAGAAATGGGGAGCAGATGGCTATATTATTACCAGCCGTGACCAGTCCCCAAGCTACCCTAAGTGTTGCATGTGTTGGCCATTCATTCATCAAACTCTAGAGAGCAAAGAGAGCTCCAGAAACCCAGGCCCAAGACCCTTGAGGGAAGGCCAGGATTAAGGAAGTGACCTGGCCCTTGGTCCCTTGACCCTCCAGCCCAGGGCTTTTTCTCTCCCATCGTATCAAGGAATAGTTCTCTAACAAATGCTGGCTCTCTTCAGGAAGTAACTAGATCCTGCCCTCCTGGGAACTTACAGTCTAGTTAGGGAAACTACATTTACTCATTCACTCAATAAGTATTGATTGAATACCTGGCCCTGTCCTGGGTCTTTTCCTAGGCACTTAGGATTCAAGGGTGATCAAGCAAAACAAGATCCTCTTCTTGCTGAATGGAGGGAAACATGGCATAAGCAAACACAGATGTGTCTTTCAGAAGAGACAAGTGTGACTTGAAGGCTGAATTGGATGACTTGCCTTGGAGGGCAGCATTAGTCAGTGGTCACAGAAGACTCTTAAAGGAGGTGATGTTTAGACAAGACAGTGGAATTACTGATAATTGATAAAAACTGAAGCAAGGTGAGATTGGAGGGCTGTGCTGGACACCAGCAGAAATAAAAAAGGAAAACAATCATCAGGGCCAGAGACATAGCTCGGCTGGTAGAATCCTTGCCTAGCATGCTCAAAGTCCTGAGTTTGATCCCAGCACCACATAAACCAGGTCATAACTATAATCCCAACACTTCAGAGGAGGAGACAGGAAGATCGGAAGTTCAATGTCTTCTTCCTCAGCTTCACATGGAATTTGAGGCTAGCCTGGGCTACATGAGACTTTATTTTATTTAATTAATTTATTTATTTTGGTTTTTTTGAGACAGGGTCTCCCTGTAGCCCCAGCTGTCCTGGAACTCACTATGTAGACCAGGCTGGCCTTGAACTTCAAGATCCACCTGCCTCTGCCTCCGGAGTGCTGGGATTAAAGGTGTGTGCCACCACGCCCAGCTTGATACCTTTTTTTTAAAAAAAAAAAAAAAAGCACAGGGACTGGAGATATGGCTTAGCCATTGAGTGCTCCAGGGAACATGAGTCCAGTTCCCAGCACCCATGTCAAGCAGCTCACAACCACCAGTACCTACTCCAACCTCAGGGAGGGATCCAATGCCTCTGGCCTCCTTGTGCCTTTCATCTTCATCTCTGGATCTCATAGTTCAGCCCCCTGCGATCTCCCTTGCCTGGCCAGCCCTTGTTACCACCTCAGTTACAGCCACACTTGTAACCTATCTCTGTGTATCTCGGGAGACTATGTTTCAGTTTCCATCTTCTGCTTTGTCCCTGCGTAGCTGACAAGATGTGCTGTTCTCCTAGCCTCTGTTTCCCCCATTCCCTCTCTCTCTCTTTGGTTTTGAGACAGGATCTCACTTTGTAGCCCAGGCTGGCCTCAAGTTTCTGATCCTCTAATCCAATCCTCCTGCCTCAGCTGCTGGGATCACAGACATGTACCACTACACCTGGCTCTGGCTTTTTAAATTTCATCCTCACAGTACTTACTGGACAGCTATGTCACACCAGTGCCATCTGAGTCCTTGGAGGTATAGTGATGACCAGGACAGGGTATGTGCCAACTCTCAAGGAACATTCATTCTGGTAGGGAGACAGACGCCAGGCAAAGAACAGACAGGGCTGCAGGTGGAGCTCAGTGGTGGGGGCACAGTAAGTAGGGATCTAACTGAGTTCTATCCCCAGTACTGGGAGGAAAAAAAAAGACAAAAACAATCTCATGACCCAGTACCCTGGCTACACAGCTCATTCTAGTAGGCATAGGAATTGGCAGATAGGCTTCAGGAGGGGACAACTTGGGAGCTGGGCCTGAGAGAGCAAGTTGCTCTGCTCCAGGCATCCCTGAAGATTTCCCATCACTAAATAGGGACTTGTGTGCCCTCAGGACCTTAATTCAAGTGTTCAACCCATTTGCTTTCTCAACAGCATTCATTATGAGCCAGGCTGGAGGAAACAGAAATAAATAGAAATGATTTCTAAAGCCCCATGATTGTGTGTGTGTGTATGTGTGTGTGTGTGTGAGTGAGTGAGTGAGTGACATCTGCTGGGTCCAGTAAGATGGGCAGATAGCCGTGGTGCCTCAGGAGGGAGGGGACCCTTTTCCTCCTCTCCTCTCTCTCCACCTACAACACTGCTTGGCCTACATAGGGTTAAAACAGATTTAAGCAGCTGTGATATTTTTCTTAAAAAATATTTTGAGCTAACTTTTAAAAAGGGTGATATTTTATGTAAAACTCAGGATTTCCAGTTTCTCAAAGGAAAAAAAAAATCAGAAGATCTGACCCCCTGGGGCACATTTCCACATGACAGTAAATAGCTGGAGCTATGTCAAGGCTGTCCCCTAAGTGGGGGCTGCAGTCACCACCTGGTGCATCCTTGAGATGGAGGTCAAAGTCTAGTTGTCCCTGACTGGCCACAGAGCTTATGCTCAGTGTAAGTCATCTGCTTACACTGGAGATAGTTCTGTGCTCTCTCCATCAAAAGTGGGGACTGGAACAGTAATGACAAAGGGATGTAGCAGAGCTCAGCATTCAGGTTTGCCGGCCTAACATTCCAGCATCTCTGCCCTGGGTGAGCACTCCACCTCACTGACCAACCCTTCCCCTGCCTTCAGGCCCCCTTCCACACCAGCAGCATCAAGAGCCGGTTTCATACAAGGGACGAGTCTGAGCAAGAGATATGTGATCCCAGGAGAAAAGAGCCACAGGAGCCACAGAGAAGTTCTTAGTCATTCTCAGCATACATTTATTGAGTGCTTACTGTGTGC